ATCAGATTTAGACAAAATATTGTGTTGAGGCTTTCCCATTTTCGATGTACTTACGGGATATCTCACTTATTTTTGAAGATATGGAGATTTGCGGCTTCTGCGAACGTTGGCTACTTTTTTATGAAACCCACGATACCGCGAACAAAATGTTCATAGCACGCTTCGTTTTTGAGATGCATGGCAAAATTGTATATGTTGCAGTCTGGGACCCCTCACTGTATCTCAGCTATCTTTCAACTCATCGGAAAAGTAAATACTGATTATTCTTAATTTTTTCACGTATAAACCAGTGACGTAGTCAGATTTCCAAAACAAGTTGTTATTATTTAGCTATAAGGATATAACCCTGGATGAATTCGAATATCCGATTTTCAACATTGCATTAGAACGGTAAATTTTTGTATACATCCATCGAGTTTATTGAAATGGTGATCAACTCTCTCGACTGAATTATTTCATCAACTATATTTCTACCTGGCAAGAAACGTACTGTTGCAAAACGACACTGCGAAGCTTATATGTGGGTCATTTTAATTTTGTTTCGTATGCATTCATTCCAATCAATTGAATCCCAAGCCATTCATCATTACTCGAGATTATTGATTAGTTTGTTTATATAATTCCCATACTGATAACTATAATGAAACCTGCAAATAATCGAACAGGTAGGCAGCTTGTTATCCGGAGATTCAATTTCAGATATAGGTATTATACTCGCCACTGGACCAACGAAAAATAATCCAATAAAGAAACGGACTACATTGACTCGCAATAGGCCTTTTCATTTAGATATATTTTTAAAACGCATGCGCTCGTTTTTAGATCCAAAATTTGATTGGGTAATGCGAAGGTGAAGTCTCATAGGCCTTAGTTCCGACACCAAATTCTGATTGGCCATTTCGAACATGGCGGTATTTTAGTTTCTATCTTCCTGGTGTGTATTAATAATTGTATTATAATAATTCAATTCGAAGAAACGTTACTTATTCGTTACTGAAGAGTGTGGTACAAGTGTTTCGGTGAAAATGGCCACAACTGTCGTTGAATGCGAGGTGTAAACAGATATAGTAATTTTTCACATTTCTCACAGGAAAAAAATGGGAAATAACATAACCTCGAGCTAAAATCTGAAACTTTTTCCCCTTGTATTAATTAATTTTCCATTTTAGGTACTGATACAATATTGATGATGTATATTATGTGGTTATAGGAAGAATCTATGTGTATTGATTTTTTTTCTCAGAAAATCAGAAGGGGGCTACTGCCCCCCTAAATGACACCTATGGGTATTTGTAATGATACAATCAGTGTTACAATCATTAAATCACTGACACTTTTTTCAGTTTCCTACGTTACCATGATACCTTGCACAAAACAATTCGCGAAGTAAAACAGTGCGCGAAGTACCTACTTCGCGCATTGTTATGTAAAATATATTAGATATTTGTATTTCAACTTGATGGCCCTCAATCGAGCAAACATCCAAGAAATCATTAATCTCTGAATCTTCAACAATAACTTTGTTTTATCTCTTGGAGCGCACGAAAGGAAATTCCTATTATGTTCTTGGAACATCGTGCGGGAGGATAGGGGGAAGCCTTTTAAGCCAGTTCAACACTATTTTTTATATCAAGCTATGCATATTTTTACTTTAAAACTATATTTTTTGACATTTGTAGAAAAAATGTTGTTTGCAACTCGAGCGCGAAATACTTTGGTTATCTCGACTATTTTTTAACTCGGCTACGCCTCGTTGAAAAAATCAGATCTCGATCACCAAAGTAACATTTCGCGCTCTAGATACAAAAATAACTATTCTTGTGCAATGAAATCATAATTTGAATGGCCATTTCATAAGATGTCGAATGAGGAGAATGGGTAGAGACTTATTGGATTGAAAATTATAAATCGTCCTTCTGCATTTTTGACGCCATTTCGAAAGTGTCATTATACGCATACAGCATGAATAAAAATCCAAGACACCCATTCAATCTCTCACCTTTAATCCCAAAAAACCATAAATTGTCCAATTTAATTCCAGCGTGTTATTACAGGCACTTACATCGAGAGATTCATAGTGTACCGAAAAGAAAAAAAAATCGTTTCAATTTCATTCGGAGTTGCACAATAAATTCAATAAGTGCATGGTGCAACTAAGGCAATAACTCGGAAAAAACGCCGTGATCTTTAAAATTTATGGCGGCACTAAATCAAAGTAAAAGTGCTGACATTAAGTTGGCGAAAAATAATTTTTCTTGGCTGATTTTTATTATACCCACCATATACAGAGTTGGGCAAAAGTCGTGGAGACGAATTTCTCAGAAAGTGTGCTGTTTCGAAATTCACATTATGACTGCGTTCTAAGTTTTTCTAAAAAATAACTTTCTATTATATCATTAGAAAGGAATGGTTATGCTGAATAGTACAGGCAAGAAAAAGTTGTATGTTCCTATTTAAGTTATGGACCTATACAGAGTATTGTTTTTTTCCCAATTTTTCCAATATTTTTTTTGGCGGCTTTTTATAACACCTACGAATGAAAATAAAATATCACAGTAGTAGCAACTGTTATCAAGTGATGTATGGTTTCCATAGCCAACTTTTCAATTTTTGGCTTTCATTTTGCTTCCACGGCCTACTCGGTGCATTTCAATAATATTTTTTTTCTGATCTAGTTTCTGGTTAGATACCAACTTGTGATATGTCATTAGAAAGGGAATTGAGTGGGAGTTTTCGGGATGAAAAATCATGATTCCTTCGTCAAAATTAGGGAATTCAAGATGGTAGATCCAATATTGCGGACAAGTTTTGTACCTTATTATGTTCCGATTCTATTCGAAATCTTCCTCTGGGGTTTTAGGAGTCGGAGATTATGATTCTTTAGTGTCAAAATTGGAAAATTCAAGACTACTAGACTAAAAAGAAGTTCAAATAAATGCTAGTTTGAGAAACTGATGGAACACGGTTTAATAGATAGCCAAACTAAAAAGAAGTAAAAAATGAAATAATAATAGTGTCTTGATAAATATTGAACTAAGGAAATATATTATAAAAATAATGTATATAGCAAACAACGTTTGTGAGGTCTGCTAGTTAGTTATAATCTTGATATTTTGGTATGGTCACTTCCGAATGACAATGGTTGGTTTACCGGTTTACCAATAATTAACAGAATCGTTCTGGTAGACTGAATAAAATGTAGTATAACGATAGTTCTTCGGATTAGTCAACTGTTCAAAATAAAAATTTGGATGTCACGTACAAATTTCAAGCATCAGCTCTTTTTCTCTGATGGATTTTCTTCTCTCTCCATGCCATTGTTCAAAATGATGTCTTGTTATTTGCAAATTTCTGGATTCGCAACCACGTCACGTCTTCTTTCATAAAGCTTGGCTTCTTCATACATACAATAAAATAGGGGCTCTGTCCTTTTACGGAGCCAACGTTACAGTTTTACCAACCAAAAATTCGTATAACGTTGATATAACCCATAATAATTATTCTGAGGCTCATCAAACAATGTGGTGATTGTTGTTATCTCAGAGACGATTTCGTGATTATTATTATTATGTGAAGCATTTCAGGGTACTTTTTTTAAATAGAGGAAAAATCAGGTTCTTATGAATACAGAGTGCAATAATTATGTATAATCCTTCCCATAATTTTAATCACGTAAGTCGTTGGATATTGTTTAGATTGAAAAGAATCAAAAGTGTGTCAAGTTTTTTATGTTATTCGCAAGTAACATGTAAAAAGAGATTTTTACTAATTGGTATATCGAGTATCAAGTCGATTTCATGAAAAAAGTGATTTTAATGTTCAATTTAAAGCTTCTTTTATTGTTAAGCTGGCGCCCCAGATGATAAAAGGACGATTTAATGCTGATTTCACTTTCTGTTTATTGCAGAAAATTAAAAATTATACCGAATAAGACATCAGTTACGAAACCCTGAAAATAATTCCATTTATGTGTAATTGCATTATACTTCTTTTATTTTAAAATTTTTTATCACCATTCCATATCTGGTTCTTATTATACGGGGTCGTCACTTCTACCATTATGGAATTACCTGAACCAACATAAATTCAGAGTTGGTTGAACCACAAGAGACATGAATAATTTGAAATGATTCTGGAGTATTACGAAAAAAATAATTTTGGAATTATATTTTCATCCAACTGAATGAAATGACATAATTATGAAATATATTTATCGAGCGTTTTTGAACCTACTAGATCTTTTTTGAACATATCAAACACGTAATCTTCTTATTGAATAATCATATCGAATTGTAACTTATATAATTCATTCTTTATTATAATATAAATGATTTTTATGGACAATATCGACATTATCTGAAACAACTTTGGTTCCGGCTTTAGATTGTTGAAACACCTTGTCTATTGGAATTTATCGATATGTTCAAAATCGAAAAAGTACGTGAATATTCCAACTAATCCAAATGGATTTCATTGATTAAGATAATTAGACGGGTACAACTAATAACAGTACCCAGCGTTGACGAGATAATTTCAAAATGACATGATAATTGTGTTGATCATGTAGACACTGCTATTTTTTGTTAAGTTAGGACAGCACCATTATGAAACAGCATATTAACATCTGATTCAAACGATAGAATGAAAGGACTAATGGAATTGAATTGCATGTAATTATTTCTCCGCGTTTTGAACTAAATTACAACCAACAGTTATTAATAATTATAATCTTGTACTGGTACTATTTAATGAGAATAATCAGCTAAATTATCTCCACCTATCATAAATCATTTGTTCAATTATCTCATCATCAATTTCTGCAGAAGAATAATTCAAACTCAGGCAATAATTATTGTACCTACAATTTTCTGCAGTGATCCTCAAGAGACAGTTTTTATTAGTTTGAGGATGGTGAAAAAATAGCTATCGTTTGTGATATTTCACATGATCAATCACAAATAGAAATGATTATAAATAATATATACCAAATTAACGCTTACCTTGAGAAAGTCCCGCAGCCACAAAACTTCTGGTTTTGGATCTCCAACCACTTCACATAAAATGATGACATCGTCTCCTTCAAGGGCTTCAGTTGAAAGTGGCTTCTTCAAGAATTTTGGTTCCTTGGAATACCTGAGCAACGAAAAAATAGTTATCTTCCAAAAATTGATCAATCGTTTCCCAACGATGGTAATGATAAGATCTGTATGAATCACAAACTATTCTTACGGAATGTCTGGACTGATAACTCGAACTTTTTCTTCTGTCACATGAGCTGTTGAACCATCGACTACTTCAACTCTAGCACTGCTTTCTGCTCTACCAATCTCATTATGAACCACGCACGTATACACCCCAGCATCTCTTGTAGTTATAACTCCAATAGATAATTCAAGGGTTCCATCATAAGACAGAGTCATCACGAAACGTCTGGAAGGTCTTAGACGTATCTGAAAATATTATTGTGAGAATAATATTCTGCAGAAACCCTTGTAATCGTTGAATCATTACCCCATCTTTATACCACATAAGTCCCACTCTTGGATACGCTTCAATCTTCCCTGCTATCCTCAATTCTCTACCTTCTGAAACCTCAGAATATGATGGTTCCAAACCGTTAAGGAATTCTGGAGCGATGTATGCTTTGATCCCTTTATCTACAACTAGGTTGCATCTACAAGCGACTGATCCGAAATCATTCAGAGCCGTTACGCTGTATGAACCAGTATCATCCAGATGTGTTTTGCTGATCTCGAGTGTGTGAAAATTGTCGTCAGTTGAAAAAACATGTCGAGCTGGAAGTTACATTGAAACTATAGGATCTCGCATCTGATTTAACTTACCATCTGCAGTCAATTCGAGACCATCTTTGAACCATTTAATTGAAGGTTCTGGACAACCAGCAACTTGGCAAGTTAATCTCACTGGATAAGTCATTTGGACTCTTCTGTCTCTTAGCCTCATTGTGAACTGAGGTGGCAGTTCATTAATATTGGCAAACTCCGAAATTCTCCTTGAAAATTATGATCAATAAGATCGTGATTAGTAGATACGAGGCAACTTACTGCTTCAATCTTGCATCTGCAGTCAAAAGTTTCGGGTCGTTCACAACATTGAGTCTTGCAAATGTCGATACTCTTCCTATTTTGTTGGTTGCTTCACACATAAATCGACCAGAGTCCATGTCCTGCAGATTTTTGATGGTAAGGGAACAGGTGTTTTTCTCCTGGGACATACACAAACGTTCATCTTCTTCTTGAAATAGTTCATTAGAGTCTTTCAACCACCTGACGACAGGAAGAGGTTCCCCATGAACCTAAAAATACAACTCTTGAAAATCGGAAAGTGACGGGTAGATTCTCTCAATTACCTCACACTGTAAGGTCACAACCGATCCTAGCAGAGCCTTCATCTGCCCTGGCAGTATCCTAGTAAATTCTGGCAGAGTATTAGGCCTTCCCAACGACACACTCCCGCTTTGGATACTTTCTCCCCAACCGTACCGATTTCTGGGGGTCACCCTGAACTGATACTCCCCCTCAGGCTTCAAGTTGAAAGCGTCGAAGGTTGTCAAAGGAGTGACGCCTAGCTCCGCCCATCTGGCGCCTTCTCCTCCCCTTTCCCAGGCATCCACGCGGTATGCCAGGACTGGCGCATTACCGCGCTGTTCTGGCTTCTTCCAGGATAGGCTGAGCCAGTTTTTACCAGAGTCTGTGACTATGGGCTCGCTTGGAATACGTCCAGGAACATCTGGAAAATAGTGATACGAAGGTAATACTGTATGAGGTTATTATATTATGTGTGATCTCCATGGGATTATCCACCCCGGGTGGTCCAGACTATTCACCCTCGATATCTGGCAGAAAAATGATGTTACATAAAAAGAACGGAACACGTCGATTTTTATCTGGAGGGTGGCACCGTTTGACGCAAAATAAATAATCTATACTGCAACCCTCTACTGCCCAGAACAAATCCTTCAATAATTTGAATAGGAAATAAGGGTCGTGTTAGACATTATTGCAAAGGTAACTTAATTCTGACACTAGCAGTGCAAAGTTTTTTCAATCTCAACAATTCTCGAGATATTCAAGTTCAAATGGTATGTTTTTTAATTGGGAGTAATTGAATGTACGGAAGGAATTATTGAACGGTTATCCTCAACAAACGTTCAAAATTGACTTCCAGACAGTGGTAGAATCAAATTGCAAATACCTTCTGCATATTTGAATTGTTTCTCTAGTTTTTGCCTGGCATTCAACCCTAAGGGTCAGGACGATTGAATATTTGATTTGTTTGTATCCATAGCAACGTCTACCTTAGCTGATGAGTTAGAAGAGTTGATTCCTCGTTAAGTTAACAGAGAGCTTCATGCAACCAGCTCTTATTCTTCTTTCCTGATCATCTAAATCAGTAGATTCTATTTTATGAATAACGGATTTCGAATGACCCCAAAGAAAAAATCATAGGGTGCCATGTCCGGCGGGTGTGCTGGCCATTTTGTTGGAAATAAATATCATCTGCCACTAAATTTCGATTACCATCATCATGACGATCCATGAGGGAATAGCTTTTCCAAATTTTCTCGATCGAATGGATAGGTCGTAGAGGCACCTAATGATTTCTTTCTACTAAGTGATTTGAATTCCACATCTATTCATTTAAAGACAATTGAGAACATACCATGTGAACTCTAATATCTCGAGAACGCCTTGATGGAATTCAAAATTTTTTTGCAATGATGTATAACACTACCCTCATTCCCTATTGAAATCATTGAGGAGGTTGCTTTGGAGAGTAGAGGGTTGAAGTATGTATTATTTATTATGCGTCGAACGGTATCCCTTATCCAAATAAAGATCGACGTGTTTCGTTAATTTTTTGTAGAATTATTTTTCTGGGAGATATCGAGGATGGATAGTATTGAATGAACTACCTGGTACATCGTTGTATTGTACTGTACACCCTAGTAATCTCGTATAGTAGGTAGTAGATATGCAAAGTCGGTTTGATAATGAAATAAATTTCGGTTCCTGAATATTAATCTGGGGGAAACTTTGAAACTGGATTTTCTTTTTCCAAATAAGGCAAAAAAACTGAAATAAAAGTGTCCTTTTCAGGGTGAGATATGAGACAATCTGAGGGAATTTTTTTCTTGAAGTTCATCCTCGAATTAGAAGAATCCCAATGCAGAAATGTAGAGCAACTGTTTCTTCTTGATTCGAAAGATATCCTGTCCAAGGACATATCAGAAAAAAACTCTTTGATATTCCATACCTTGATACTTCACGAGGTTTTCGAGGAAATCTGATATAACACAAACCCTAGCACACCACTTATTCCTCAGCTGAGTAAGAGATAATTCAAAATCCTGATATCCAGTATCGACACATAAACCTAGAATTATCATTTTCTGAGGACAAGAAAAATTTTTCCTATCTAACTGGCTCAAAGTGTTGATTGATTATTGGAGATCTGGTTTGAGCTACAAATTCAAACAAACTAGATAAATTTAGCTCAGGGATTGTCGGTGCATTTTGGCAATATAACACCATTTCGTTTCACCTCATTAAAGATAATGTTCATGTTGAATATTTATAGATTCGATATATTTACGTGAACAATAAGTGTGGTGAAATGAATGCTAAGGTAACTTTATCATCAACAGAGTTCGACAACAAATACACCATTAAATAAATAAAATAAATTCGAGAAAGCTCGAAGTCATTTCCACAAATGTTTATGAAATGAACAACAATGGCGATTGATTTCGATATAGGGAAGGAAACACTTTTTTTTTTTTTTTTTTTTTTTTTTTTCATCGCTTGGAGCGCACGAAAGGGAATCCCTATAATGTTCAAAGAACATCGTGCGTTCCTTATGTTCAAAGAACATCGTGCGTTCCTAGGGAGGATAGGGATGAGAGGTAGGTATTGGAATTTTTTTTGAACTTCTGGAGATTATTTGTTGTTGGAAATACTTCCTCAGGCAATGAATTCCAGAGCCTAGCCGTTCTATGGATGAAGGAGTTTTGATAAAGTGCTGTTCGACATCTTTCGAGGTTAACAACGAAAGGATGTGCTGACTGGGCTTGTCTAGTTCGTCTGTATTAGAATCATTCTCACATACTCACATACAGGTTGCCATTATAGTTACACTGAATTTTTTACAAGATTTTCTTTAAATCCTATGGATAGCACAATAATAAGAGTACCAAATTCGAACTGTGAACTGTAGCCTCATCTCTTCCCAGTTTTTCCCTTTTCAATTCAGTATAGCACACCATGTGTAAAAATAATATCGAATTATAAACAAATCAATGACATGGTCGAATTTTCGAAGAGGATGAACGTGAGTATTTTTTTTTACCTGTTTGTAGATGTCTTTCGTGATATGAAGGGATGTCCACCATCATATATGGTTTGGTAGGCGTAAGAGATCTTGCTCTATTCCTCAAACGAACGGTGAAAAATGCTCTATCACAACCATATCGGTTCTTGGCTAGGATGCAATAGGTGCCGACATCTTCAGCCGTTACCCTCTTCAACGTGAACCTCATGTAGTCATCACATTGCTCTCTCATCGATCTCATGCTGTTTGTGATGTCCTTCAGACCTTTCATCCAAATAACTAAAAATGAATTAACCTTTAGATAACAATATATGAAGATTAGTTTAAGCGTTTACCTGTGGGTCTCGGTTCGCCAGTGACTCTACAGGAAACAACTATGTCTTGATCCTCAGTGAGGTTGAGAATTTTTTCAGGTCTGCTCAAAAACATCGCTGGCTTCCCATGCAGTACAGCAGAAGGATGGACGATTTGAACATAAGCAGACGTCTCTATTTTTCCCTGAGGGTAAGATGCTCTACAAATATATTTCCCAGCTTCATAGTCATTGATATTAGGGATCACTAAAGTGTGAACGCTACGCTCTGCGAAGGTCCTATGTCTAGGAGAAGATTTGGCGAGCTTCGAGCTTTCCTTGAACCAGGTCACTTCAGTAGGGGTTCCTTTGATTTCTACTTGTAAAGCCATCACTCCTCCAGATGGGACATACGTATCGGTTAAGATGCCTGAGAAATAGGGTCGTCCTGATAAGCTGGAACTATCACGAATGTCTCTTTGTTTCGACTTTTGGTGTATATACTCTTTCTTTCCGCTGAAGCTAAGTTCATGTGATATCTGATCATTCCAAAATTCATTTTCTACTCGACAAGTGTACCTCCCACTATCAGCCTTCTCTGGACTCTTTATAGTCAATTTGCATAAACCTTCAGGTGAGAAACTTTGGGTATGTTTCGAACCAATACCGACCTCTCTGCCATCCTTGAACCATTTTATCTGAGGTCGTTGGTGACTCCTCACTTTGCATTCTAAGCTCAGCTCATCGCTTGAAATTTTGTAGTGGTCTGTCATGACTCTTGTGAATTTAAGTGTCGTTGGTGCGTGCTCGTCTTCTTCTAATTTGAGAGTACCAGATGTAATACTGACACCGTTTTCATTCTCAGCTCTGCAAGAATACTCTCCAATGTCGGTCAACGTCACACTCGCTATCTGGATAGATGCAATATTATTTGAATATTCAGTGGATATATTATCACTTTCAACAAGCTCAGAGTTATTCTTGAACCACGTTATTTTTATATTGTCACCGCCTATTACACTGCATGACATTCTGGTGCTAGAGCTTATTGTTGTGGTAGAGTCCCTGAGGTTGGTGGTGAATAGAGGTTTACTACCAATGAAGCGAGATCCTTGATAGGAAGACGGCTTGTAACTATCTAAATCAAGATTCTGAGAATGCCTTGTAGTATCATGTACTCTGGGTTTTGAGTAATCTCCAGTTATAGTCGCACCTTCTAGTGAATGCTGGGTTGTAGAATTTGGTGATAATTCCAATGTGGGTTTCGTTCTTTCATTATCTGAGGTGACAATTGGGGTGTCTTCTGTTCTTTCTCTTCTGATGGTTTCTTTTTTCGATCCTATGTTTCTTTTCCTCCCAATAGGTTCTTTGCTAGAGATTATATGTTCCTCATTTGTGTGAGTATTGTTTCGTTCGGCTTCAACATACATTTCTTTCTTCTCGGGATAACTCTGCTTTTCTTTGAGATCTTCATTCGTGTTTTCAATGATTCCTCGTTTAGTTATCTTTACATCTTGTGACTGATTCACATTTTCAGCTACTTGATTATTTGCATTGTCATCTTCAAGTGGAACTACAACATCTTGTTTTTCTTCAGGTCCAGAAGAGCTTTCAGTTTCCTCATATTCTTTGTTCAGGACTATTTCCTGTTTCACTATATCTTTTTCTAAAAACATCGTTTCGTCATTTGGTTTTTCAGCTTTGTCTCCAGGTGAACTCTTCTTCCTCTTCAGTTTACTCGACTTGGTTCTCTTTCCTTTGTGTTCCATTTCATTTTTGAGGTCTTCTGTTACTTGCTTGCTTTCATAGTCTACCTCAGTGATTTTGTCACTTCCATTTTTTTCTGTCCCTACCGTCTTATCATCATTGATATTATCACTTGATGACTGTTCTTTAGTTTTCTTCTCAACGAGATCACTACTCGATTTTATGTCAACCTCTTTTTCCTCTTCCTTCTCTGCAATTCCACTAGTGATACCTTTGTCGTCATTTTTACCATCGATTTCAGAAATACTCTTCTTTTGTTTTGGAATGCTCTTTCTGGGTTTCTTTCCTCCAGGTTCTGTTCCAACTTCTTTGTCTATGTCTTTATTCGCCATTTGCTCTTGAGTTTGTTTCAAGTATATTTTTTCATCTTCCCTTGCTTCTCGTTTATCTTCAACTGTTTTTATTATTCGCTCATCTTCACTAACGTTTTCCGTTATTATTCTCTCCTTCATTCCAAATCCTCCTTTCTCAGCATTATCAATATTCACATTGTCGTCTTTGTCAATAGACTGACTTTCACTTTCTTCGATCTCTCCGTTAGCTTTGTCTTCTGTTTGATTCCCAAGTAACCCCTTATCAGTATTTCCTTTCATTTCATTAGGTTTCATTGCAGTTTGTTCGATTTCACTGCATCCTTGCTTCTCTTCTTCGATCTCTCCTCTGGAAATTTTTTTTTCGTCATCTTGTTTTACGTGGTCATCAGATTTGAATTTATTCAATAAATCTATTAAATCCTGTTGCAACAGAATCAGGGAATCATTGATTGTTTTGAATAGTTGTATATTTGCAGTAGCTTTGATTGTGTTATCGATACTGGTGCTAAGTTCAGTAAAAACCGATATGATCTGAGGTGAATGTCTATTAGCAGACTTATCAGAAATTATTATCTTCAATTCGTCGTCACAATTTCTGATAGAATGTATCAAAGTAATGTTCGCGATGAGATTTTCTGGAAGGTCTTCGGTATGATTCTGCTTGATAGAATGCTCACTATCTGATAAAGTTTCTTGCAATATACCCAGAGTTTGATCTAACGCTTTGACGTCATCATATTTCCTTATATTGTTCCTGAAATCGATAACAACTTCTTTGAGATTATTAACAAATTTGATGTCATTTCTCTTCTCGAAATGTTGCGCTAGTAGTTTCATCTCAAGTTTTTTCACTGCCTCCTCAAATAAATTGAAAGATTGTGATAGAACTTCCATTTTCTCATTGAGAGAAATCGTATTTGCCGAATCTCTTAGAACAATTTCTAAATCTTTCAAGCTTGATATAAGCTCAGTTTCATATGTTCTCATCACAGTCAAGCTACTCGGATCCTTGATGAAATCTTCCAAGAATAAGTTTATTCCGCAAATTTTGTCACTGATGATATTTACGTTTTGTGTATATTGTGGTGTGAAATCTTTCGTATTGTACCCAAATTCTTCAGCTAACTTCAGATTGGTTCGTAGCAGACTCAAAGGTTCCAACAAATCTTCCAAACATAGTATTGAATCTTGTCCGATTTCTTTAAATACTTTCTTATTTTCATTCAACTGGCGAGTAGTAGCTTCGAAGCTACACAGAGATTCACTGAAATTCTTCAGAGTTTTGTAATCAAGCCTTTCTTCATTACAATCATTTATTGCCTTCTGTATTAGTGAGTTGAAATTTTCCATATATGAAGAAATATTGAGCCTATCAGAGCAAGAAGTGACTTTCAGAGATTTATTGGCTTTATGAACGGTCTTGAGATTCTCGCATAATGTTGGTACCTCCACTGAGAAGATGTCTGAATCAGTAAAAACTGAATTAATTGTGCATATTGTTCTACTCAAAATATCGAATGGTTCTTTGACTATTTTGTTTATGTCTCCTAAAATGTTCATGAGGTCTTCTGAATTTTTGATTTCCTGCTCCTCCAACCTATTCATGATTGAATTCAATGGTTCTTTTAGGTTGATTAGAGCAGTAATCACTTTTGGTGGTTCACCACTCAAAATGATAACATCTGACTGTAGTGACAGTATTTCTTTGTTGATGGTATTGAAAGGCTCTAACATTGTTTTGAATTTTTTACTCTTGACAGCGTTAGTTTCGTTAACAATGCCTTCTTCTATTTTCACAAGCTTCTTCGATAGTTCTCTAAACGGAATCAAGATTTTTCGTTGAATGATTTCATTCTCGATCGATATTCCCAAGACATTCTCAATTTGATTCTTCAGGTTGTTAAGTCGCTTTTGAAGTACATCATGAAGGTTTGTATGTGGTCCAGCTTTTTTCAATGAGGTGTTAATTTTCACCAATTCAATGAGTAACTCTTCTAGGTATGGAATGATGTTATCCAATCCCTTCAACAAGTTATCTGGAAAAACTGGTACATCTGAGATACTCGAGCTATCAACACATTCCATGCCGCAAAGAAGTTGGTCAAATGCGATTTCCAAATCTAGTATAGGTTTTAGATTTTCATGAGAGGAGATATCTGACTTCTTCTTCATTCCTTCTATTTCCTCTTTTAGTTGGTTCATTGTGAGTTTCATTTGTTTAAAGATTCCTCGTTCTTGATTTTTCTTCTTGACTATATCACGGTAGTGATCAATCTTTCGAATTATATTTTTCATTTCTCTTATCAATGTACTGTTAGCCTTAGCATCTATTCCACTGGAAATAACCTGGAGAGAAATCGTTAGGTCTTCTAATTTAATGTCTAGAGATAATTCTTGATCCTTAATGATGCATCTATCGACGAATTCAATGAGGTTGAGTACGTTGGAAACATTCGATATTGGCTCACTAATGCCCTTGAATCTATTTACTGTATCAATATCTAGCGATCCACTGTTTAAGATGGAAATAATTTCGCTGATGAATTCATGCACTGTACAAAACTCTCGAAAATCAGAGTCATCACATTCTTTTTCGAATAACATTTTTTTAGTTATATCTTGCAGGGCACATAACGGTTGTTTCACAGAATTGATGGTTGACAGATAGTTTTTCAACTTTTTCAAGCTGTCTGAGGTATTTTCTATTACCAAAGATATTTCTTGTAGAGCAGATAAGATCAAATAATTCTGCTCAGATTTTGTTAACAAATTCATCACTGCTTCTAGTTCTTCCTTCGCAGATTTGATGCTTTTGCAGATCACATCAATCTTGAAATTTGTGGGGTAACCATTTATTGATGACACAGAGCTAATGGAATAATTCACAATGTTATATAGTCTGCTCAAATAGTCTTTGGAATCTAGTGATCTGAATTCTTCTTTTCTGTTACATAAATCTTCAGTCAGAGTTGCAAGAGGCTTACTGAGGCTTTGAAGTTGCTTAGACACTAGTTTAATAGGTGGAATGATTTTGCCGCTATTTTTCTCCATTTCTTCTATATTATCATTGAGTAACTTCACTGCCTGACAAAGTGAAGAAATCATGTCTGACAATTCTTCACTAACTTTAGAAACTGCTTCCATTCGCTCGATAGATGCAATACATGATGTGAGAGGTGCCTTGAGGATATCCAGAGATAAAGCTTGTGGTATTATTTGACAAATCATTCGAGCATTTACTTTCAGTACTGAAAGGGCGTTTTTCGATTCAGAATCTTCATCTTCAACTCGTTCAATTTGTTTTCCTTCCATTCGAGACATGAACAGCGTCAGCTTTTCCAAAGGTTCTTTCAAAGATAATAGGCACTCATATTGTTCAAGAGTTATGTCCTCCACTGATTCATCTATGTTTGCTTCCAGATCTCTGTATTTTGAAGAAAATTCTATTAGAGGTTTGGTGGTTTGAAATATACCTGAGATATGAGCTTCATGAACCTGTGGTCTTGTAGCTGTTACTAGTTGGTTTGCTACCTCCAAGTTTTCTATAACTTCGATTATTTCCTTCAAAGCTGCTCTATCTCTCCTGATCATAGGTTCAGTCTTCTTAATGCTTTCTTCTATCTCACAAATATTTTCAACAAACTTTTCTAAGGGTCGTTGTAGTATTTTCAATGCTGAAGGTTTGTCTGTCATTTCAACAATGATAGTATTGGCGCATTCTCTAAATTTACCAAGCAATGTAATCATCTCTGGTACTTCCTGTTTTGATAATTGGTGTGGCTCATCACATGACTTCCTACAGATTTCTAGAGCTGTGGAAATTTGTTTAGCTACTTCACTCAAATATTCCAGATTCTTGAGTATATCCATTGAAATATCTTGTAGTTGATGTGATGGAATACCTTGAATGCAAGACACTAGCTCTGATATACTTTCAGATGACTTAGTCAGACACATAACACCTTGTGATTCAAGAGATGAATGTTCCTGTTTATTCCGCAGCTGAATTATTTCACTTTCTAATCGTTTTATACTTTCAGTAAATTCAGTATATAGTTTTTCATGATGTTGAGATGTTTCAAGGTCGTTTTCTATGTTTCTCAATTTAGCTGAAAGATTTTTTAGTGGTATTTCAAGTTTCATTAACATTTTCGTAGCTGGTACAGTTTGGGTTACTGTATCAATAGCTTCCTTCAAAACTGACACAGCATGTTTAATTTTAGAGAGTTCACCCTTGAATATCTTAGGAGTACTCAGTATTTCCTTAGTACTTATCAAAACAGCTGTCAGTTCCTCGAGGGGTTCTTTCAGAATCGACAAATTCAATTGTTCTGTTGTTATGTCTTCTACGTTTTCAATATTCTGTTGATCTACGCTACGAACTGCTGCTAATACATCCGACACAGTAGTAGTAGCATCTATCAGAGACGATACGCCTTGCTGAGTAGGCATTATCGATTTCTGCACTGTTGTTCCCAAACACTGGAATTCTTTTTCCAAATTGGCAATTGAATTTGCAATACAGTTCAAGAAAGTTTTGTATCTCTTCGTTGCCTCTTCAATATCTCCCAAATCACTCATCAGAGCTGTGAGCGGTTGTTCCAGTTGTTTCAAACCTGAAGCCTGTGGCAATATGTGAACTACCTCAACTATATGCTGCTTTACTGCTACCACTGCATTCCTGATTTGTGGAAGAACAACATCGGACACATGTGATTTCTTCATAGCTTCTCTCTCAACTACAATCACAGCTGAAAATTTTTGTAATGAATCGCACAGTTGTTTTATGTTTTCGAATTGAACTGGTGTTATATCAGTTACGTCTTCTATCGATATTTGCTCTATGGCAGAGATAGACGAGGACAGCTCAAAGATTTTGGGACTGGCTGCAATAATTTCTAAGATACCTTGCTGTGGTTTAGAATCCAACTCTTGTACCACCAGCTGCAATGATTGAATATCTTGACCTAAATCGTTGAGTGATTCTTTCATATCTTTTAGTATTATTTGGTCTCGGCGTGGTCGAGATCTAGAACTTGTTTCAATAGCATTCTCGATCGTATTCATTCTACATGCAAGAGCCATCAACGGCGTGTTGAATACCTCCAAAGATTTAATTTCTGGTAATATCGCTGTGGTCTGTTGCAGAGCTTGTTTGAGTGCTATCACAGATTTTTTCAATGTCGAGTGCTGTTTCTGGATTATTTCTGGTTTTTGCAAGGATTCTATGATGGTGTGTACAGATATCATGAATTGATCCAGATGCTCTTTCATCGCAGCTAGTTCCAAGTTCTGTTCGACTGTAATGTCTTCAACATTCCCTAAGGTATCTTCACTGAAGTTTTGGAGGCAGTCAGCCAGTATTGTGAGTTCGCTTGAAGCTTCAGTTAACGACAATATACCTGGTGAAGCAATTAGTTGTTTCGGGGCAGCGTTCAGGGATTCCAAGTCCATTTGGAGGTTGCTCACAGTGACTGCTAGCTTACCTACAAATTCCCTGTCTCGTCTAGGTTCCACCTCAGATTTTTCTTCCATGATATTCTCGATCGTTTCTAATTTGACAGCAAGACTAGTTAATGGTATTTGTAGGATTTTCAGTGATTTTGTTTCCGGCAATATATGTAGAGTATGGTGTATTTCTTGCCTCAACGCTGATAAAGCATTCCTCACTTGAGGCAATTTCACTTCCCATTCCACTGCTTTCTTTCTTTCGTCTGCACTAATCGTGATAGTTTTGTAAAGTTCTTCTAGTGGTGCTTTTAGAGCATGCATTTTATCGAACTGGTTTTCTGTAATATCATCGATAGTATCTTCAAGTGGTTCTTCTTGAACTTTCTTTATAGAAGCTGCTAGCTCAGAAATTTCCAATGCAACTTCAAAAAATGATGATATGGCTTGTTGTGGTGCATCAGATGATTCTCCTACTAGAGCTTTTACTGATTTGATATGATCATTGAGGTTGCATACTATCAATGATATCTCCTCTATCAGTTTTCTATCTCTTCTGGGTTCAGGATGAATTTTTACTTGCTTTGTACTTCCAATGAAATCTAATTCACCTGCGAGAGCTGCTAATGGTGACTGAAGGATTGTTAATGATTTAATTTCTGGTAATATCTCAACACAATGTTTCAATTCTTGTTTCAGAGCTAATATCGCATTCTGTATTTCTGGATTTTTTCGTTCTTTCATTTCAGAAGTTTTCGTTGCCTCGGTTGTGCCGAATATGAGTTCAGTTAATTTTTTTATTGGCTTTTTCAGTGAAGCTAGTTCCTGGAATTGTTCGACTGATATATCTGCTATTTCTTCATTTGGTTGATTTTCATTATTTTCGATACTAGCAGCAAAATGAGAAATTTCTTCTGCTGCTTCACTGAGAGATAATATAGCTTTTTGGGGTACTGCGTCAATTGTTTCTACTTCAGCTTTCAATAACTGTTTCACCAAACCACCAACAGTTGCAGCTAAGTCTCTTACTAATGTTATATCTCGCCGAGATTTCTTCTTTGTCTTCTCTTCACTTTTTTCATCAATTATCCCTAGTTTACTAGCTAGAGCGTTTAATGGCATCTGAAGAATTGTTAAAGTTTTCATTTCAGGCAACATTTCTACGGAATGAATCAATTCATGCTTCAAAGCTGATATAGCATTTCTCACTTCTGGTATTTGTTGTTCTATTATTTCTGGCTTGTTCGTAGCTTCAACAGTGATTTGAATACATTTAGATAATCTTTTCATTGGTTCTTGTAGTACAGCTACTTCATTGAATTGATTTACCGTGATGTCAGCTACGTTTACATTCGATTGATGTTTTATATGTTCAAGAGATGCAGCAAGCTGAGCAATTTCTTTCGTTGCTTCAGTAAGAGATAATATTCCTTGTTGTGGTGTAACTTCAACATTTTGTAAGTGAGACTTCATTGATTGCACCTGTTTTTCCAAATCCCCAACAGTTTCGGCGATATCTTTTGCCAATTTTATATCTCTTCTTGATTCTTCTTTGCTCTTTTCCCCCATGATATCTTCTATGATTCCTAGCTCACTGGCTAGAGCTGCTAATGGCATTTGAAGAATCGTTAATGTTTTGTTTTCAGGAAATATTTCCACGGAATGAATCAATTCCTGCTTCAGAGCTGATATAGCATTTTCCAATTTTGGTATTTGTTGCTCCATTATTCCAGGCTTATTCGAAGCTTCAACGGTGCTTCGAATAATTTCAGATAATGTTTTCATTGGTTTTTGTAGTGCAGCTACTTCATTGAATTGATCTATCGTGATGTCAGCTACGTTAACATTTGGTTCATGTTCTATATGTTCAAGAGACGGAACAAGTTGAGCGATTTCTTTCGTTGCTTCAGTGAGAGATAAGATTCCTTGTTGTGGTGTAACTCCAACATTTTGTAACTGAGTCTTCAACGATTGCATCTGTTTTTCCAAATCCCCAACAGTTTCGGCGATACTTTTTGCCAATTTTATATCTCTTCTTGATTCTTCTTTGCTATTTTCTCCCATGATATCTTCTATTATTCCTAGTTTACTGGCTAGAGCTGCTAATGGCATTTGAAGAATTGTTAATGTTTTGGTTTCAGGCAATATTTCTATGGAATGAATCAATTCTTGTTTCAAAGCTAATATAGCTTTCTTCACCTTAGATACTTCAATTTCCTCAGGTTTTTTCATAGCTTCTACACTAATGTGAATTATTTCAGATAATTCTCTTATTGGTTTTTTTAGTGCAGCTACTTTATCGCATTGTTCTACTGTCATATCAGCTGCGTTCACAGTTGATTGATGTTCTATATTTTTGATAGAATCAACAAGTTGAGTTATTTCTTCTGTTGCTTCAGTGATAGAGAATATCCCTTGTTGCGGTGATAATCCAACATCTTGTACTTGAACTGTCAATGATTGCATCTGATCTTTCAAGTTTTCGACACTTTCAGCGAATTCTTTTACTAATTTCATGTCTCGTCGTGTTTTCTTCATTTCCTTTTTTCCAATGATATCTTCTATGAGTTCTAATTTACTGGCAAGTGCTGCTATTGGTATGTGGAGTATTTCCAAAGTTCGTGTCTCTGGTAATAAGGCCACAGAATGATTCAATTTTTGCTTCAGAGTCACTATGGCATTTTTCACTGCTGGTATTTGTTTTTCCATTATTTCAGGTTTTTTCATATCGTCAATAGTGATAGGAACAACTTCAGCTAACTCCTTTATTGTAGTTGCTACTGCAGATAGTTCATCAAATTGTTGTGCTGTGATATCAGCTATATTTTCAACTTCTTGTTGTTCAATATTTTCAATATAAGTACCTAGTTGGACAATTTCGTCTGTTGCTTCAGTGAGAGAAAAAATCCCTTGTTGTGGTGATAATCCAACGTCTTGTATTCCAGCTGTCATCAACTTCAATTGTTCCTTCAAATCACCTACAGTTTGAGTGAATTCTTTAATCAATTTTTTATCTCGTCGTGATTTCTCTTCGCACTTTCCTTCAATCATATCTTCTATGATTTCTAATTTGCTAGCAAAAGCCGTTAATGGTATTTGAAGGTTTTTCAAAGTTTTTATCTCTGGTATTATCTCTACCGAATGCATCAATGCCTGTCTCAAAGCCACTAAGGCGTTTCTCACTTCTGGTACTTGTTGTTTCATGATATCAGGTCTCTTCATAGCTTCTACACTGATGATAATAGTTTCTGTCAATTTCTTAATTGGTTCTTCTAGTGCAGCTACTTGATCAGATTGTTCAGCTGTAATATCGGGTTCATTCTCAACTGCTTTATGTTCAATATCTTCGATTGAAATAGCAAGCTGATCGAGTTCCTCTATTGCTTCAGCGAGCGATAATATTCCTTGTTGTGATGACTGGTCAACATCATGTAATTGAGATTCCAATGATTGCATCTGCGCTTTCAAGTTTCCAACAGATTCAGCCATATTTTTGACCAATTGCATGTCTCTTCTTGATTCTTCTTTGCTCTTATCTCCAATTACATCTTCTATGATTCCTAGTTTACTTGCTAGAGCTGCAAAAGGCATTTGAAGGATCGTTAAAGTTTTCATAGCAGGTAATATATCTGCAGAATGAATCAATTTCTGCTTCAAAGCGGTTACTGCCTTCCTCAATTTTGGTGTTTGTTGTTCAATAATATCAGGTTTCCTTATATCTCCAACATTTATAGGAAGTATTTCAATTAATTCCTTCATAGATTTTTCTACTCCACCTATTTCTTCGGATTGGTCTACTGTGATATCATCTATGTTTTCAGGTGGTTGATGTTCCATACTTTCGATAGAAGCTGCAAGTTGGGTGATCTCTTCTGTTGCTTCAATGAGAGAAAAAATTCCATTTTGAGGTGATACTCCAATATCTTGTATGTGAGCCGTCAATAATTGAATATGTTCTTCCAAGTCTCCCACAGTTTTAGCGAATTCTTTAACCAATTTTGTATCTCGTCGTGATTTTTTCCTATCACCTCGTTCAATGACATCTTCTATGAGCTCTAGTTTACTTTCGAGTGCTTTCAATGGTATTTGCAGTGTGTTCAAACTTTGCATTTCTGGTAATATAACTGCAGAATGATTCAATCTATGCTTCAGAGCCAAAATGGCATTCTTCACTTCTGGTATTTGTATTTCCATAATCCCAGGTTTATCCATAGCTTCAATACTGATGAAAACAATTTCAGCTAACCTCTTCATTGTATTTGATAATGTAGATAGTTCATCAAATTGTTCTGCTGTAATATCAGCGACATTTTCAACTCCGATATCTTCAATAGAAGCAGCGAGTTGGACAATTTCGTTGTTGGCTTCAGTGAGAGAGAATACTCCTTGTTGTGGCGTAACTCCTACATCTTGTGAATGAGCTTTCAATGATTGCATCTGATCTTTCAAGTCATCCACAACTTTAGCGAATTCTCTGACCAAAGTTTTATCTCGCCGTGATGTCTCTTCGCACTTCTCTTCAATTATATCTCCTATAATCTCCAGTTTACTTGATAGAGCGGCTAATGGTATCTCAAGTACTGTTAAAGTTTTCACCTCAGGTAATATTTCTATGGAATGAATCAATACTTGCTTCAGAGCCGATATGGCATTTTTTACTTCTGGTACTTGTAGTTTCAGTATTCCAGGATTCTTCATAGATTCCACACTGTGGAAAATTATTCCTGTTAATTTCTTGATGGGTTTTTCTAGTGCCGCTACTTTAGAGAATTGTTCAGCTGTGATATCAGGTACGTTATCGAATGGTTTATCTTCTATGTTTTCTATAGAAGAAGCAAGTTGAACTATTCCTCCTATCGCTTTAGTGAGAGATGATATCCCTTGTTGTGTTGATACTCCAACATCTTGTAACTGAGATTCCAATGATTGCATTTGCTTATTCAACGCGTCAAAATTCTCGGCAATCGCTGATGCCAATTCCATATCTCTTCGTGATTTTTCTTCTCCATTTCCTTCAATCATAATATCTTCTATCAACTCTAGTTTACTCACTAGAGCTTCAACTGGTTTTTGAAGAATCGTCAATGTTTTCATTGCAGGCAATATCTTTGCGGAATGGATCAATTCCTGCTTCAGAGCCAATATAGCATTCCTCACTTGAGGTATTTGTTGTTCCATCATCTCCGGTTTTTTCACAGCTTCAACATTTATCAGTATTTTCTCAGTTAGTATCTTTATAGGTTTTTGTAGGGCAGCTACTTCTTTGAATTGTTCTACTGTAATGTCAGCTTCGTTCGTAGTTGGTTGACGCACTATGTTTTCAACAGAAGCAGACAGTTCATCAATTTCGTCTGCTGCTTCACACAGAGATAATATTCCTTGTTGTGGAGATACGCCTACATCTAGTATTTGATCTTGCAAGGATTTGATCTGCTCTCTCAAGCTTCCTACAACTACAGCGAACTCTTTCACTAGTTTTATATCCCGTCGTGATTTTTGTTTATCTTTTTCTTCAATTATACCTTCTATAATTTCCAGTTTACTGGCTAGATCTGATAATGGTGTCCGAATTATCGATAATGTTCCCATTCCTGGCAACATAACAGCGGAATTTTTAATTTCTTGTTTCAAAGACGTTATGGTATTTTTCACCTCCAATATTTCGGGTTGCATTATTCCTTTAACTTCGTTGTATACAAGTTCTGTCAGTTTTTTGATAGGCTCTACTATTGAGGTTAGTTGGTCGATCTGTTGTACTTCAGCTACGTTCTCTATCAGATGATATTTTAGATTTTCAATAGATGAGTAAAGTTGAGTAACCTCTTCTCTTGCATCACAAAGGAATGATATTCCTTGTGGTGGAAATACTCCAGTATGATCTACTTGCACTTCCAAGGATTTTAGATGCTCTTCCAAATGACTAATAGATTCAGCAATTTTTTCTAGGATTACAAGATCTTTCCTTGGCATTATTTTGCATTGTTCTCCAATAATATTTTCTAATGAATCCAATTTATTTGCTAAAGAAACCAATGGGGTCTGTAGTATTATCAAAGTTCCCATTTCTGGTAGTAACCCAACTGCATTTTTCACTTCCTGTTTCAAATCCTGTAGAGCATTTCTCACTTCTTGAACGTGTTTAACTTTTATATCAGGAATCTTCATGGATTCACCGCTGATAAAGAAAAGTTCTGTCAATCTCTCCATAGGTTTTTCTAGTGCAGTTATTTTCTCAAATTGTTTTTCTGTGATGTCCGCTACGTTCTCTACTGACTGACGTTCTATATTTTCAATAGAAGTAGCAATTTGATCGATTTCTTCTGTGATTTCAGTTATTGATGAAATACCTTGTTGTGGCAATACTGGTAATATCAAACACTTTATCTGTTCTTTCATGTCTCTAACTATTTTCACGTAATTTCTCAGCAGAGTTTTATCTCGTCTAGGTTCAGTTGCAATCTGCATACTATCTTCAATTACATCTAATTTTCCAACAAGTGCTGTTACTTGAACACTCAAAATTTGCAATGTTTTAGTTTCTGGTGATAGTTCTATGGCATACTCGAGTTCGTGTTTCAATATTGATAATGCTTTTCGCACTTCTGGTAATTGTTTCTCTGTAATCTGTGAATCAGGTTCTACTTGTTCAAGGGCAACCGTCAATTCCTTGATTGGTAATTCCAAATGAGATATACTCTCATACTGCTCATCAGTGATATCGTCCAGCTTTTCGAGAACTTGTAGATCCAAATTCTCAATGGAAGTAACCAGTTCATCTTCAGTATTAGCTGATGTCAATATACCTTGCTGTGGGGCATCAGGAGTAGATGCGTCAACTGTCAACAAACTAATTTGATTATTCAAGTTTCCTATGGTGTCAGCAAGCTCTTTCACCAATATTTTTGCCCTTCTTGGTTTTGTCAAACTCTTGATATCATAAGTGCCTTCAATGATGTCTAACTGTGCTAAAAGAGCTGTCAGTGGCTTCAAAATCAACTGAAAAGGTTTTATTTCTGGCAGTGATACAAGGATATGTTCCAAGTCTTTCTTTGAAGCTGAAATAGCATTGTTGATCCTTGATGATATTTGCTCTTCTATCCCTGGGTGTTGGAATTCTTGAACTGTACTTTGGATAGCTTCAGACAATTGATTCAGAGGCTCTTTTATTCTTGCTAAGGCATTATATTGATCAACTGTGATATCATCCTCATTGTTTGCTATATCTTCTTCTAATGTTTTGATAGACTCTTCTAGTTGACAAATAACTTCTGTTGATTCTAAGAGTGACATTAAACCTCGTGTTGCTCCTCCAGTATCGTGTATTTCATATTTCAATGAGATTATGTCTGCATTCAAAGCAGTAATTATCTCAGACAATTCTCTCGCGAGCTGTTTATCATACCTAGGCGTTTTATCACTTTTTAGTTTCATGATTTTTCCAATATCCTCAAGTTTAGCAGCAAGTATTGCTAATGGTTTTTGAAGTAAATCTATACATTTATTTCCTGGTGATATTTTTATAGCACTCACTAATTTTTTTTGTAATACTACTATAGCAGCATCTATCTCTAAGAGATGCACGTCTTGCGATTCATGCTTCTTCAATGCTTCAATAGTATTCAAAATATCTTCCGTCAAAATCTTTATTGGATCTTTCATTGCTGCTAGATCTTCATACTCTTGAGATTGATATTCCAAGTCTCCTATAAATTGTTCAAATTGAGATAGTTCATCAGCAGATTCTCTGAAAGTTGATATTCCTTGTTCTGGTGATATGTTTGAATCTTCAAACAGAGAACTCAATAATATCAACTGGTTTTTCAAGCTACCAACTGTTTCAATCAATTCATCTCGGGATTCATGAGCTTGTATCGATGGCTGTATCTCTTCTTTTATGGCATGCTCTATTATTGATTCATTTTCTTCTTCAACAACTATTTCTTCTCTAGGCACAATTTCTGATAAAAAGTTGTTGATAGATAAGAGCAACAGTTTATTTGGTTCACATAAACATTCCAAAAAAGTACTTTCTCGAGATTTTTCTATCAACTCTATAGCATTTTCTGAGATGAGTTTAAGCATTTGCATGAGTTCGCTCTCAATAACTTCTCTGGTCTCAGCTGATTTCGACAAAGTTTTGGAAAGGCAGAGTAAGTGTTTATTCTGTAATTTGAGACTACTGAGGTACCCTTGTGAAGGTTGAGAATCGACACTGAATTGTAGTTTCATCATTTGTTCCATAGAATCCAACAAGAATGCTATTGGTTCTTTCAGACAGGCAGCGGTTTGATAATTGAAAGAATACTGAGTTCCAGTTGTGACAAATTCATTCAGAACTCCATTGAGTTTTTCGAGAGTTTCGATATTATTATAAAATTGAACATTGTCTCCCATTAAGCTCTGTTGCAGAGTTGCCACTTTGATTTCCAAAGACTGTAAAGGTTCTTCAATAACAGCCTTGAAAATAGTAGGAGGCCCCGCTCGCACGATTTCAATAGCTTGCCTCAGATATCTCATCGATTCTACTATCTCCTTCCTATTCATTTCATGTAACACTGGCTTCTGAATCGTACCCTGTAGGCACACGAAAACTGGGTGCAATTTTCGTAGAGTTAATTCAACACATGACAACGTAGCAGTTTCCAAGGGATCTGTGATCAGATCTTGTAGATATTGTGAACTCACTTCCTGTAATAGACTGACTGATTCATGGATAGAGAGTACATTCAAAAGAATTTCACTTGGTGGAACAGCTTCTTCCAATATCAATTTTTGTAGCTGAATTATATCTTCTCCGATATCATTCAGAGATTGCTGTATAACTCCACTAGCAGCTATGTTTGCTTCTCCTGTAGTCTTTACTTCAATTTGTTGAATGACCTCTTTCAGTAGCAAGTTGAAATTTTTCAGATCGCTCAAACCTTCACAACCATCTGGTATTTTGTTTATTCTATCACAAGAATCTTTAACTCTGTGAAGTATATCACATAAGTCTGTATTATCTGTTACTTCTAAAACATCTAACACATCAGACAAATGTTTAGATCCCCGTTTCATTACATTAGCGAGGGTTGAATTACTTGGCAAGGATTCATGTTCATTCAAAGAATGATTTATTGTTTCCATTGGTGGAATCAGCATCTTGAGATTATCATATTTTCCTACATTATCAACTATGGTTCTACAATTCTTCATTATACTTTCACGAGTATTGCTCACGGATTTTCTCACTGATAATTCATCTTGTATCTTTATTATTGCCTTGCAGATTTGCTCCAAAGGATTGAGCAAATTTTTAATGACAGGATTTTCGCTTTCCGATTTGGTCAATATAGCTCTCATACAGGCACTGATTAGTTTATTCTGAAGACAATCCAATGGTTTTGAAAATACTTCAATGCTTTTATTTTCCAAAGAGATAGAACTAATCTGCTTGAAACATTCGGTGATCTGTTTCAACAGTTCTTCTTCATCTCTCATAGGTTGGGCATTTTTATGTTTATTTACTTGAAGTTCTAACTCTTCAACTGGACCTAGCAAACTAGAAAAGGGATTGAAAGTTCCTTCTGGCGTATATTTACATGACACTATGAATGCTAGGAAATCTGTTACACTGCTGCTGAGATCTAGTAGCAGTGGAGAGTCATAAATTGTCTCTCTTCTTGATATCAGATGCATAGTATCCAAAGATTCTTTTATTTGTTGGAGAGGCTCTGTAATAAATGTCATAAATTCATTTTGAACCGAGGGTTCCTCAATATTTTCAGACATTATACTCGTTATAACTTGTTCTAGCTGTCTGGCAGACTCAGTAACATTTTGTTTCACATTTTTCTCGAACTCAGATATTGATTCTGTTATAGCTCTCATTGCACAAAGCTCCATTTCATGGATATTGCCATGTGGAATTATTTGAATACCACCAATTATTGTCTTCAAGGGTTTTTGTAAAGTCTCGGTGATGATGTGTTTCGATTCAGGTCTCACTGTCTCTACTATGAATTTTTCAAAATCAATTAATTTCTCTTGTAAATGTGCTTTACCTCTTTCAATGTTTTCTGTTCTCTCTTTCTCATTCGACAAACTTCTGATGATCAATTTTTCTACACTTTTCAATATATCGTGTAGAGTTTCAGAAAAATCAGTCAACTGCGATTCTTGATTGATGCTTTCAAGAAGTGTTCTCAATCCATCAGAATATGAATGGAGTTGCTCATATTGTTGTGATAAAGGTCTCCCTTGGCCTTGTTTCAGTACATTTTTCAGCCTTTGAACAGATTCATTCATCATTTCCAGAAGTTGTATATCTCCTGGTTTGAGAGTAACTTTTTTGTCTTCTAGAACTGTAACTGAAATGAATTGTAAGGTTGTCAGCGGCCTCTGCAACTCGTTTAAGAAAACAGTATCTGCTTTATCTTTTTTGCTTGATTCGATAGATGCCACATGTTCTTGAATCTCCTGTATCGAGCACTGAAACTTGTGTATTGACTCGTTCACTATCGATTGTGATGGAGATAATAAGGTGAGTATGTTTTCGCCGATCTCTTTAACTTGTTCTCCTAGGGCAAGCATTACAGGATCTCTAGATCTGTTTGTCAATCTATCAGTGATGTCGTGACATCTTTTTCTGATTTTCTCCAATATATTTTCAGTCACTGTTATTTTCAATCCTTCTGTGAGCTCCAGTATTTCACTGAGATCTTGAAGGTACCCAGTGAATCTCTCAAATATCTCATGATCAATATCTCTCTCAATCACGATATTATCAATGATTGATTCTACTGCGTTGCAACTATCCTCTAGTTTGGACAGTGAGATCATCTTCTCTTCTGGTAACTGTACTTCTATAACTCTGATATTCTTCATTATATTTCTCACAGCATTTCTCAGTTTAGATTTTTTGGCCATTTCTAGAGGAATATTCTCAGTCAGATTTATTGCATTCTTAATAGTTTCTTCTAGTTGTTCCAATGATTCTTTCATCTGTGAATCTTTCGGCACCTTAACCACAGCTAGTCTCAAATCTTCGATAGATAATTTAACAGTTTCTGCTGTAGATGAAGGAATTTCATTTTCATTCTGGCTACTTACTATAAAATCGTTCAGTAAACGTATAGTGTTATTCATTCCCGAAAGAGCTATTTGTTCTTCTGCTGTGAGCACCTTCATTTCTGTTCTATCTTTGCATTTGCTCTCGATGATTGTTGCTACAGATGTTATCGATTTTACTAGTTCCTTCACAGCTATCTTTTTCAGATCAGATAATGGTTCGTTTTCTATTTCACCCACAGATTGATTCAGCTTCATCAAAGATGTAACGATTGGTTCCAGTTGGGCAATACTCTGTTGAACTGTAGATTGTTCTTCCTGAATGAATTGTTTTTCAACTGGTTCAGTTATTTCTTCCAATTTTGTTGTTTCAGCAAAGTTTTTTCTGAAAATTTCGTCATCCTGCTGAACTGTTTGATCCTCAGTCGATTCTCCTGACACTATGTGTATTGTTGCATCTTTTTGAAGTTCCGCGACTTCATCAGCTTCTTTAGTTCTAGTATGTTCTTTTTCATCAATACTTGTATGCTTTGTATCTATTATTGTTGGAGTAGTGGGCTCAATCGATTCTTCAATTTTTGTTTCTGAACCATGCTCACCTTTTTCAGCTTCCAGAATTGTATGTTTTTCAATGGGATCTATCATTTCAATCTGATCTTTCAGAAGTTCTAACACTTGGGTTACGGCATTTTTCTCGTTATCGATTTCGACTTTTGATTTCAGCTGCTCTGGTTGACTACTAATCGATTTATCAGTATCTACTTCTTTCTTCCTTTCTGCGGAAGATTCTCCTATTATTGGTACATTTTGTTCTACGTTCAGATCTATATTTTTTTCCATAAAGTCTTCTGTAATTTTATCATTCACTTTCTGCACTTGTAACTGGGCTGAAGATTCATTTTCTTTATCTTTAGATTTCTCTTCACATTCAGATTCAACTATGCGCTTTTCCTGTAAAGGTTGATCGTCCTCTTTCTTTACACTTTTCTGAACTTCTATCCCTTCAACATGTTCATCCTCAATGTTTCCTAAAATTACTTTTGGTTCTGTAGTGTCCGTTGATGAATATATTCCTGGAATCAATTCTTGTGCTTTTTCTAGAGTTTTTGATGAGTTTTGATCTTCTTCAGATATTATTCCATTTTCTTCCTTTTCTGATGAAATTGACTTGATTTCTGCTTCAACCAATATCTCGCTTTTCTTCTCATCTTTGTGCTCTTCTGTTACGGATTGATATTCGTTTTCGATGGATTCTACTCTCACTATATCTTGCTCATCTTTTTGGGCTACCAATAGAGTTTCTGGTTTTGCAGTTACATCTTCTGCAGCTTGTTCATCCTCAATGTTTCCTGAAATTTCTTTTGGTTCTGTAGTGTCCGTTGATGAATATATTCCTGGAACCAATTCTTGTGCTTTTTCTAGAGTTTTTGATAAGTTTTGATCTTCTTCAAATATTATTCCATTTTCTCCCTTTTCTGATGAAATCGACTTGATTTCTGCTTCAACCAATATCTCGCTTTTCTTCTCATCTTTGTGCTCTTCTGCTTCGGTTTGATATTCGTTTTCGATAGATTCTACTCTCACTATATCTAGCTCATCTTTTTGAGCAACCAATAGAGTTTCTGGTTTTGCAGTTACATCTTCTGCAGCTTGTTCATCCTCAATGTTTCCTGAAATTTCTTTTGGTTCTGTAGTGTCCGTTGATGAATATATTCCTGGAACCAATTCTTGTGCTTTTTCTAGAGTTTTTGATGAGTTTTTCTCTCGCTCCTGAATTCCTAATAGGTCTTCATTCGATTGAGATGCAGTAACAACTTGATCTTCTCCAATTATTATTTCATTTTCCTCTTTTTCTGATGAAATCGACTTGATTTCTTTTTCAACCAACGGTTCTTTCAATATCTCGCTTTTCTTCTCATCTTCGTACTCTTCTGCTACAGTTTGGTATTCGTTTTTTAAAGATTCTCCTCCCACTATAACTAGCTCATCATTTTGGGCAACCAATACAGTTTCTGGTTTTGCAGTTACATCTTCTGCTGCCTGTTGTGATTGCTCTATAATTACTGCTGATTCAGATTCCTCTAAAATGAATTCTTGGATATCTCCTGCAATTTCTGACACGCTCATCAATGTTTGTTCTTTCTTTCGTATTTCCTCCAGGTCGTCTTGTAACTGGAGTGGAGTTTCAACTCCTTCTATGACCATATCTTTTTCTGCTTTCAACACAATTGGTTTGACGTCTTCCACAACAATATCTTTCCCAGTAGATTCTGCTTCCACTGAACATATCTCGTCTTTCTGAGCAATCGATAATTTGTTCTGTTTTTCAGTCAGATCTTCTGAGTGCTGGATTTCTTCTTTTTCTTTGCTACTTGCTAAAGCTGATTCCTGTAGTTTGTTCAGGAGAGTTTGATCTTCGGCACTCATACGTGCATTTTCAGGATTTTCAGAGTTACTGATTTCAGTTGATAGAATAGAAGGAACCTTTTCCTGAACTATTTCATTAACCTGTCTAGATGATTGTATATCTGGAGGTTCTCTTTGAGCGACAATATTTTCTTGTTCTTGCTGCAATTTTCTATCTTCCTCTTCATTTCCATGTTCGGCTTTGTCATCTCTCAATAGAGTCATTTGTTCATCTATTTCTTCTTTCTGTATGTTCCGAGTTTGATCTTCTACTTTCCTTTGTGCATATTCAGTAGTGACAAATTCGTCGATTTCAGTTGGTGGAATAGATAAAGTCTCTTCTATCTGAATGATTTGAAGAAGCTCTCCTGGTGATTCTTCATCTTCGAGCATTCTTTGAGAAACAATATCTTCTTGTTTTTTGATACTTCCAGTTTGTTGCAATTTTCTATCTTCTTCTACATTCCCATGTTCGGCTTCGTCGTCCTCCATTTGAGTTGTTTGTGTTTCTATTTTTTCTGTTAGTATGTTTTGAGGATGATATTCGACTTTCATTTCTGCATATTCAGGAGTGACGAATTCATCAATTTCAGTTGATGAAATAGATGGAATTTCTTCTCTCTGGACGATTTGACGAGCATCTTCTGATGATTGTTCATCTTGGGCAATATTTTCTTGATTTTCGGTAGTCGCTGCTTGTTGCAATACAATATTTGTTTGATTTTTCGAATCATCTGCTGGGTGCAAGTTCATATCTACTTGCATGTCTTCATATTTTGCATCATCGTCTCTCGCTTGGGTCGTATTTTTTTCTTTTGTTTCTACTAGTATGTTGTGGGTTTGACTCTCGACTTTGATTTGTGAATACTCGGTAGTGGCAAATTCATCAATTTCAGTTGGTGAAACAGATGGAACCTTTTCAATCAAACCGATTTCGTCTCCTGTAGATTTTCCATCTTGAGTTTTTCTTTGAGGAACTATATTTTCTTCATATCCGATACTCTCTGCTAGTGACATCGTTTCATCTCTAGCTATTATTTCATGTTCTGCTTTATCGTTTATGGTCTGGGTTTTATCTTTGTCATCTCTTATTTTTCCTACTAGTATGTCCTGAGATCCAGTATCCATAACCTTTGATTCTGAAATAACAGCTTCAGCAGTATTTTCTTCGGATTTGATTCGTGCAGTCTGATCTTGACTATCCATCATTTGTTTGTTTCCATCAGTTGCTGGTTCTCTATCTTGGAAACTAATTTCTGTTTGCTCCTTCTCTTCTTCTTGTTCTGCATTAATATCTTCTTGTATAAGTTCTGTTTGGACAGTGATGAGTGATTCAGTTGGCTTCTTGGTATCACCTTGTTGGATTTGTATCCGTGACTCGTTCTTCTCTATATCTATTTCATCTTCCACTTTTACCAACGATGGCTCTTTCTCTTGTATACCCCGCCCTTCTAGTTGTTTCGTTACTTCTGAATATGAAGTATCCAATATAACTTCTTCGACATCAACTCCAGCTGTATCCGATTCTTTGGACATAATTCCTCCTTCAGGTAAGATTGGCAGTTCTTCCTCATCTGTTGCCTTCTCAGATTCTGTAACATTTGTTACCTCTTGTTCTTCTACTACTCCTTTGGATTCTAGATATACTTCCTCCTGCAACTCTTTCTCTATGATAGTGTTCGCTTCGTTTTCATATCCTTGTTCGAGTTGATCGATAATTTTGGGTAGTGAGTTTGTGAAAGTGTTGAGAGTTCCTGCAATGCTGTTCATTGAGGAAGTTTCGTCAATAGCTTTTGCGGCTTCTTTCAAAATATTCAAGAATATTATGGCTTGCTGCTTCTGTATTGGAATAACGTTACGATCCACTTTAGAGACGGAAATAATGTATGCATCGATTTCGGCGAATATTTTGCTGATATTTTCCAAGAACTTATTATCGCATTCCGACAGGGGGCATTCTATCAAGTCGTAGATAGCTGTTTGAAGACTGTGAGAACATTTCTGAAGGTCAATGATTTTCTGTGTGTCTACATTAGCATATCGGATGGCAGCAATGCTTTGTGCAAGGTTCTGCAAAGACTCAGAAGCTAATTGTATATTCTCAAGTTTCATTGCATCTTTCAATTTTTCGACTTTTTTGATATCTTTCAGCGTGTATAAAGTTTTGTTGATCAGTAGTTGAAGATTCTTAATTATCCCAGTTGGAGTTGATATGCTATTATCTTTCAAAAATTCGGATACAGTGGAAATCATGTCATCAGTTCTTTCGTTAGCAGAGGAATCGATGTAACCGTTCAAAATGGTGATCAGACTTGTTGCATGCTTGATGAACTTTATGTCATCTTCAGGAATGTTGTCAACTTCAATTCTTTCAAGGTCCATTTCTATCACTGGAATTGTGAAATGTAGATTCTCTGGTAAGATACTTCTATCATATTGTTGATTCCGATATTTATCACATGTGACCTTCAAATTATTCAAAGTGTCTTCAAGATTATCAATGGCAGACTCAGATTCCTTTATCTGTACTACATTTCCAAAAGCAATACAAAGGTTTTCTAAAGTACTCTTGACTGTACTGTCATCTCCAAGATCATGTATGTTCGAGAAGAGTGTCTTTATTTTTTCCTTTGCTGTATTGTTTTGACTTGCATATACTGCTTTCAAAGCAATATCCAAATCTTCGAAAATTCGGTTCATGAGCTCATTTTGGTAGCTCTTCTCTTTTGATACATTCACCACCTCTTCTAATGGTTTGATAAGTTCACAAAGAATACCTGATTCATATTGTTTCAATAAATTTAATGATTGTTGAAGATTCTCCACTTGTATTGATGTTGAAACAAGTTTTTCTTCGACTTCCTCAGTTTTTTGTTCATCAACATTCGTCGAAAGATCTTGAATGAGTACTGTTGTGAGTACTTTCAATTCTGTTTTGGCTTCTTCAGATATATCCAAACTATTAACGATTATTTGTAAATTTTCTATTATGGGCTTCAACTTATATATTGCTTCGGTGTCATCTTCTTCAACGGCATTTACTATGGAAGTATTGAGAACACCAAGATTATCGTCCAGCAATTTTGTTTCTGGAGATTCTCTATTCAGCATTGGTGAAATAATCCCAATGGTTTTTGATACTTCTTGTAGTTTGGCTATCACAGGCTTTTGAGAAGGAATATTTTGGATGGTTCCTAGAGTAATCAAGGTTTGTTGTAAGATTTCCAAATTCTTCAAATCAATATTTTCAGATTGGACTTTTCTGAGTAGTGAAGCTGAGTTACGAACAAGCTCATAGAAGTGATCATCTAGAGATGGAGATGAATATAATATCTGCATTATCGATTCTATTTTATTGAATATACCTTCCTTCTCATCTGTTTGAACATTTTCCTGTTCGATCAATGAAAAACCTTCTTTGAATGCTACAAATAATTCTTGGATATGTTCAATACCAAGTATTTTATCTGATTGACTCAGAATTTGTTTAATCGACTGAAAATTTCTCAAGATTTCATCTGAAACATCTTGGTGGAATCTGTCTTTGAATGATTTTCTGCAACGATTTACTATCACTTGTATATCTTCGATATTTCTCATGAGGTCGTTGATTCTCAAATTTTCATTGATGATAGATTTCACATTTTGTATATTCACAGTTACTTCTGATTTCAGATTTTGTGATAATTTCTCGTTGATATCGTCTAGTTTCTCGAAAGATGTTTCAATATCTCTTTTCACACATTCTTCTCTTGCTGTGACTTCTGCAAGGCTCTTCAAAGTGTCAAGAAGACTTTCAACTTGCTGGAAATCTCTCGATTCTTCTAGAGTGGTATCTTCTAAATAAAGATCAATTATTTCGACAATATTTTTTAGTTCTTTGGAAAGTTTGTTTGACTTCTCGTCACTTGTTATATTCTCAAAACTATGGAGGTGTTCAGATATCATCGCTTTTTTCGAGTTATTGCTTGCTATTTCACTCAAAATTGAGCAGATACTACTACTTGTTTCCGTGAAAAGTTCTGCTATTTCAGATCTAGGTACAAATCTCTCAAGAATTTCGTTCAATTCAAGTAACGTAGTAGCATCTTCTGAAAATCTTACACCATCGATGATGTAACTGATAATCGTATTGATCAAACCTAAGACTTGTTCTCCGTGAGAAATTTCTGGAGACATATCTTCGAAAGTTTTAGAAAATAGTACTTCAGAAATTTCGATGGTACTCTCTATCTCACACTGCAGCTTACGAAGTAAGGTAGTTCTTGGCATAGTCTTCAAATTTTCTAAAGAAGCAATCAAAGCAGGCAAGTTCTCACTCATGAAAGCGGTATATTCTTCTATTCCTACTGGATAATTTTCTTCTAGGTAACTTTGTAATTCTAGGATGGTTTTAGTGAATTCCTCAAGAGAGTACGTGATATGTTCCAATCTTTTGTTGTTCTCTATTTCTTTCAGTGATTCTAGGAGATGTTCTGCCTGTGGCATCAAATGTTCTACTATCAATGAGATATCATGAATATCACTTTCAGTTGGTATTGCCAATCTGAGATCTTTGAGTATGTGTGCTACTTTCTCTAAACACCTAAAGTCGTTGATTTGTATATCATAGTTGAACATTTCCAGCGATATGATTTCAATGGCATTTCTGAGGGGCCCATGTAAAGTGAATAATTTGATTTTGAGTTCGTCTGGGATGATTTCTAACAACTCAGCGATCTCAACCAATGGATCTCTTATCGATGAAAACACTTCTTTCCGGTACTCCTTATCTCTTTGAATGTCAGAAAAATTCGCTTCAAGTCTCTTCAATGGTTCAGCCAGTTTCTCGATTCTCCTGATGTTTTCATTGGAAACAACTAATTCACCTGTCTTTTCAGATATTATATCAGTTTTGATTTCTTCTATCAAGTTCAAAACTTCAGTTGCAGTCTCAAGTAGTTCAGGAGATATTTGTTCGCTATTCTCCGACATCGCCACTTCATAAAATTCTATTAAAGGTCTTGCCAACGCACAAATATTTTGGACTATTGCTCCTTGAGCTTCTTGTGTAACATTTTCATAATCCACATTCATCATAGGCATCTGTTGAACATTTGCAATCATCGTTCTCAAATTCTCAATGTTTTGTTGCCCAAATTGCATTGTCACTTCCAAATGTTGGGTCTCATCTATAATATTCTGGTGCATCACAGCAATATTATATTGCAAATGCTGAAGTGTTCGATAAACTTCGTTCTTTTCATCAGATGCGGGCTGAGTACTGACGAAATCTAGAGCCCCTATAACTACATCCTCAGCCATTTCGAGAGGTATGATATGCTTTTGTAATGCTATCCTATCATTCATTGTCAAATCAGATTTTGGTTTTGTCAAGAGATAATCGCTGATTGTGATTGTCAGATCTTGTATTCTGGAAAGGAATGGATCCAACATCAATTGTAGAGTGTCTGTGCAATGATCATTCAAATACAGCAATGTAGACTTGGTATCTTCTATCAAACTATCAGCAATGACATTGTTCGAACATTCTTCCATCATTACTACAACATTGTCTAAAGAATCTTCCTTCATCGGATTGAATATCATTCCATGTTCAATGAGACCACAGATATCTTCTTTTACTTCAGTTGTTTTTGCTCTTAGGACCGAGAATAAAATGCATAGATCCATACTTTTCAGAATTTCATCATCAACTGTAATACATTCCTCTAAGATATTCAGGAGGTTCACTGCATCCTCTAAAATATATCTTCCACTAGATGGTGTGATATTCATCACAAGACTATTCAACAATTGAACAGGCTCATTGAGGCTTTCTAAGGCAGTGACTGTTCCTTCAGTTTTCTGTTTAGAAGCCTCTGATACTGCTCTAGACAGATTAATTTGCAAGTTTGAGAGTTGGCCAAGAGCTTCTAAGAGCAAAGCATCTGTGACACCTTTTTTTGCAACTTCGATATTGAGGAACAACTCTTCTACTCCTTGAGTGATATTGTTGTATACTAACTCAGTAACTTTATCGAGCACTTCAGTGAAAACTGCGTCACTTGTTGCTGTTTCTTCGACATCAGTTTTGATTATATCAATATTTTCTTTTATTCTAGACAGTGCTCTAACAATTTCTTCAGTTGGGTTGACGAAAGATTCCAATACATTGAGGCTTATCATCCCTGCATGTTTATCGCCTGGTTCTTGCACTTTGATAACATTCAAACCTTTCGACAGTTCACTAATAGGTGGTTCTACATGCTCCAATAGGGCCAGCCTCACTTCTTGCTGCAAAGATTTCTCAGATGTATATCTAGCTGATTCTTTCTGCACAACTCTTATTTCCCTCACCAGATATTCTACTGGTTCTTGCAGTTTCTCCAGGATTTTTTCCCCGAGTCCTGAGTACATTTGATCACTATCTTCATAAGCTATAGTTTCTTCAAGGCTCGACAGAGCATGTCTGATATCATCTACGGTACTCAATAATTTGTCTATCACATCAATGTTTTCGATTGAAGACATTCTTCTGGAGAAAGAATCAGGGGATGTTGATTTTTCCGGTAGACCGGTCTCTATCCTATTGAGTTTTGATTGCATTTCTTTTATCGTAATGCAAACTTCTTGTATTATCTTTGAGGGTGTCATTCTTCCTGAGGCTTTGGTCGTATTCAGCTCTTTCTCTAATAAAGCAATGTTTTCAACGAAATTGAGACTTCTTTGTATATCAGGTCCTATGGTGTTGAGTATATTAGAGCTAGTTTTTTGTATCAAAGTATGCTCCTTACCCTTCACACCAACACAGTTTTCAATTACTATCAAACTTTTTTGTAGATCAAATATAGCTGGCGCTACTAGTTCAACCACATATGTATCAGTAGACAATTTTCTCGCCTCGAAACTTTCGAAAATAGTTTTAATGTCCATTACGGGTTGATGAATACTCTTGATGACCTCAAGACTTCTGTCAACTGGAGTAGATGAATGTGTAGCATGCGAGATTAGACTATCCTCCACTTTCGACAAACCTGTTAGGATATCCTCTAAGTTACCTTTCATTTCTTTCATCACACTCAATTCTTGATCCTGTAGTTCGGTTATCTTGATTGCATTCAGTCTTGGATCAATAACCAATCCATCTCCTTCCTCTCCTTGTAAATCCCTCTGGAATGTTTCTGGTAAATCTAGACTAACAGTTTTCTTGATCGAACCCCTCTTGAACCCATCTTTTGACATCTCATCTGAGCTTTGCGATGAACGTCTTCGTTTTGGTTTCTTGAGCTCCTGGCTCTCACTTCGGTTGACTCTCAGATCAGAACCAATTTCGTGTGCGGTATGAGGTGTTAGTGGTCTCCTATCTTCATCTCCTAATAGGCTAGTGGTTTCTGTGATAGCTGCTATCTGGAACGCTCTGTCTTCTTCAACATGGCGTTTTTCCGAGCTAATAGCACTCTCGTAGTCTCCATAAGACTCAGTATCGAGATCAGCGGCACCAGCTAAACTCTCATCACCTCTATCTGAGTCCAGTGAGAGGTTCTTCGATAAACTATAGTAGGAGTTGTTGCTTTTCAAAGAATCTGATTTTCTTGGAGGTCTTTTCGGACCATCACTACTCGATGTCAGTTCGATTTTCAGTTTCTCTGAAGTAACTGATGCTTCATTTGTTATTGAGAGTATTTCATCGACGTCTGCTTCTGTTCTCAGGTCATCTTCGGCTGATTGGAAATAGTCATCGGTGACGTCAACTAGTACTGCTTCCATTAGAAGGTTGCCGGATGTCGAAGATTCTTTGACAAATCTCAAAGGAGGAAGTTCTACTACGTTATGTTCTATAAAAAAAGTATCAGAATCAAATCAGGAAGCGTTAAAACTTCAGCATTTCACACGAAACTCACCCGAAAAGTGGGCTGATAGCTGTTCAGCATACATTTCCACAATCTGGATGGCTTCTTCCTCTGTTAGGTCAGGTGTCTCATATAGTGATACTGATACTTCTTTGCCATCGAAAGAGAATGATACTTCTCCATGGTCAGCTATAGTAATCGATTGATCTCCAGCAGTATCATACAACTGAGAGGTTCTTTCTTCGTGGATGGTTGAGAGTGATGGTTGACGAACTAGCTCTGGTCTTGAAGCACCATGTGACTTTTGGTCTTCGAAACCTAGCAAGGAGGCTGAGCTAGCAACAGTACCCATGCAGTTCCGAGCTTCACAGGTGTACGTTCCCAAACAACAGGTACCATCCTAGAAAATACGGCAGAATTGAACAGCTTAGCGGTTGAATATTCAAAAGACGTATTCATACTCACTTCCCCAGAAGTGATCCTATGGATGTCACCAGGTTTCAATTCAATCCCATCCTTGTACCACTTCAATACTGGCTGTGGTACTCCGATAACCTTACATTCTAGATTCACAGCTCCTTCTTCTGACAAAACTGCTCTCAAACATTCGAGGAATTTAGGTTTACGGAAGTGTTTAGGAATTATGAGTTTCAAAAAGGAAGATGTTACAGAGTGGCCAAACTCATTTGTAGCTACACATTTCCACTCAGCTTGGTCGTTGAGTTCCACCGAGCGTATGTCCAAATGACACACTCCTAGGTTTTCTCGGAACACTATGTATTTCTCGGGCTCAGTAGTTACTGGTTGATCATCACGAAACCAGGATATCTCTGGTAAAGGAGTCGTAACGCTAACTGAAAAATTTAAAGGGAAGTTGAGGAATTTGTCATAGCGCAAACAATAACAAGCATTGAACTAGTTTCAACAATTCTCAATATGGTTAAATGGTTTATCCGCAAGAAAACCTCATAGGAACCATTGGTCTTGGGTTACTTTCGAGTTTAGGCAGTCCTCAATACACCAATTACAACTGATGAGTCGATGTGAACTTGCTGATAATTGGATTGATGCAATTAAACAATATCTGAATACTCACCTTGAATAGTGAATCTGAAGGGTTCATTTATTTTTCCTTCGCCACTTTTTAGTCCATGTATGAATTTGGGTGCTTGACTTCGAGAAATTAATTGTTCTCTCTCTTCATCATTCAATTGGCTTTGAATATCCTCTACAGTTAACTCGGCAGAGCTTCTAGCTTCCCCCATACAGTTTTTCGCTATGCAGCAATATGATCCAAGGGAATTGGTACCTGTTAGTTGGTAGACATCTCCAGGTTTGAGTTCTTGACCGTCTTTGAACCACCTAAACAAGAATTGGTAATGACATGCACAAAATTCGAATGTGAAGATAATGATGACTGACCTGAGTAGAGGAGTTGGAGATCCAACGACTTTACATTCGAATGAAACTAGACCTTCTTCGGTTAATACAGCTTTCAAAGTGTCCATGAACCGTGGCTTCTTGAAGTGTTTTGGGACTAAAACATAGAATGGTTCTGGATATTCTGAACAAACAATATGTGAACAAAACACATAACTGGTGGCTGTCATTTATTCAGGGTGTCTCGTGACTCGATCGCCATACCCGAAGGGCATATTTCTTTCATCAAGTTTTCATTCAAAATATCCCCCTGTTGCTTCACAACACATTCTTGTCCGTTTAATGATTGAAAACGTTGCTCTCTGAAGAGTATCTGGGTCGTCTCTCATGGATGCAGCTGTAGTCATAATATCTTGAATTAGCTGATCTCTTGGTTGTGGTTTTTTTGAGTACACTACATGTGTCTCCAAAGATAATAGTGAACAAGTGACCTCCGTGGTCAAAGAACTGGACCACCTCTTGCAGTCCACAGGTGAGCAAAGTTGTTATTTAACTGCTCATAACTAATCAACAATCGGCTTGGAGACAAAACTGGATAAGGTACTTTCGACTTGTTGAAGGAAAATGCCCTTAAGCTATGGTGATCGAGTTAGGAGACACCGTATAGATGTTGACGAGTTGATGTTTGAGACTCACTTATCATTTTTATGTCACACGTAGATATTGAAATGGCACCACCTTCGCTGGTAGCGACACATTTCCACTCTCCCTGGTCACATGCTTCTGTAGGTCTGACTTCCAGCATGTACCCTCCAATGCCATCCGCCATGTGCTTGTACCTAGTACCTGGTAACTGATCGTCAATCTTGCCTTCTGAGTTGTACCAAGTTATCGATTTTGGCCAAGGAGGTATAGACACTGAAACAGTTGATGATGACATTTCGATCGTAAAAACTCCACACTTTTGAATAATCAGTTATGTGATGATGGTTGAAAGATTTTGCTCACCTTGACAAGTGAGTAAAATGGGATCTCCAATTTTTATTAAATCGTCTTGTATATCTCGTATGAATATCGGTGGTGGTCCGGTTGGAACATGACTGAAAATACATGATAAAAGTTGGTTCATCAATGAAAACATTCCCTTCATAGGTTGTAATCATCTATAACAAACTATTCTTCATATCATTATTAATATTAGAAGATTCAATCCATTATGACGAAGCTGGATGAAGTCTTTTGTTAGCTTAGAGAATGTTGAAAATCCCCCCCTTCTTCTCACCTGTCAGCCGTTCTAGTGCCATCTTCTACCCCCATCAGGAGAACCCTGGATCTCGACACTGCCTTCCCCATACAATTGGTAGCCTCACAGGCATAGCTTCCCAAGGACGAGGGGTCATCAGGACTGGCGGTCAATGCCAGAACATCTCCAGCACGGATTTCCTTGTCGTCCTTGAACCATCGGAGGAGTGGAGTGGGTACGCCTACCGCTTTGCATTCCAAGGACACGGTACCCTGTTCTGTGAGGATGGCTCGCAGGGGTTCCAGAAATTCGGGAGGCTTGTACGTTTTCGGTACTACAAGTGGAAAGACCACATGATCATTTCATAGGTTCAACATTGAGCCCCATCCAATTTATTATACATGATCAACCCATATAGCACTCCACGTCCTGGAGACGTCCATTTTAGGTCCGATTCAGGTCTGAACGTCCTGAACTTCTTCAAGAGTTACTGGAAACGTTCATTTCTAGACTTACTGGGTACTTACGATTTCGACGTACGGGGTACGTCCAACGTTGGACGTTATCGATTTCAGGTGGACGGGATATATAATGAACACTGGAATCATTGCATAGAATTTTCGACCTTCGATCTCTAATATCTATGAAAGCATCAATGAGAAGCGTCATTCTGTAGAGTAATGGGTAGACTAGAGTCACTAGATGGTATTGATCTAACTAATAATATCCAGTGACTCTAGGGTAATCTGAAGGTCGCGGGATTGACCATGGTATTCATGGTGACAAAATACCAAACTTGGGCCTAATATGAATGTCCCTAGGACGTTTCATATTGTAACATCGTACGTCCCCAGCACATCCTATGAAAGTCTTTCGACCAACACTAGACTTCTTCAGGATGTCTTGTGAGTCCCAGATAAACGTCCTCTGGACAGCTGAGAATACAGGGTGATCTACTTATATGAGAATGCGAAGAATCATTTAGTTCCCACGCATCCGCTTTCTTTTTATCAGACTTGGAACCCACAGTTAATTGATTAAAGTAAACCCTAGAATCTCTAAGTGTCGAGGTTATAGGTTCATCTTCATTGAAGTTATCACCTCCTTTCAATATTTACTTACCCAACACATTGAGATGGCACGAACTGGATCCTTGTCCTGTAGCATTTCGAGCAATACAACTCCATCTGCCGGAATCATGTGCTGTCACAGGAACGACATCTACGCAATGAAAACTACCTTCGTTGACGAATTTGTATCTCTCATCTTCCTCTATTCTCTTTTCGTTTTGGTACCATTCGACCTAAGGCAATATATTCTCTTTTTTATATCCTATATTCAATTCCTCATAAAATATCTCCTCAATTTACATAGAACATGTCCCAACCTTCATGAAATCGAAAATATTATGGTGGATTTTGCAGTGTGGGATCCTCGTGATCCCAACTACTTTTTTGTATGATGGTGCGGTATTTTTTTATGGTTGGAAAGGACTAGCGCCCAAATAAGTACTATATAGCATACTAGACTTTCAGAATATATTTGTGAATGAAAAAAGTAGTAATTTATGATCATCACTTCAAAACAGGCGCAATCATCAATTGCCTACTAGCAGATGACTCCATAGTATATTCTGAATGCACCTCTTTTTTTTTTATTCTTCTAACGTATTCTGACACGACTTTCCCCGCTCGTTTCGTGCTTTTTAAGCTTTTGCATGCTTTTCGACGCTTTCTCGCGCTTTCTCACGCTTTTTCGCCCTTTCTCACACTATCCTATGTTTCTTTATGCTTTTTCACGATGTATCACGCTTTCTCATGCTTCATCAGGCTTTCTCACTGCTCTTCCTCATACTTCCTCGTGCTTTCTCACATTTTTTCAGGCTCCCAAACGGTTTCTCACACTTTCCCACGCCCGTCAATTACGATAAAACGTTTTGTTATAGTGTGATGGTAGTATTAGTAATCAGTCAATAGAGGTATGGTAGGTTCAACTGACGCAATAATTTACTGTTGTAAAGTTCTTGATGATCACGTGAGATCGGATTCGCTTCCTTCTGATTTCCACTAGGAATCAATTCCTCGTTTCAACTTTCGTAGTCAGTATTTGCCCATGGCAAGCCTTTTTAACGTTTTTTCACACTTTCTCAAGGTTTCTCAGACCCCCTCACGCTTTTTCATGCTTCCTCACGCTTTCTCATACCATCTCACACTTTCTCACCCATTCTCACGCTTTCTCATGCCTTTTCGGACTTTCTCACGCTATACTACGCTTCTTTGTGATTTTTCAATTATTTTACGATTCCTCACTCTTGCTCATGCTTCCTCACGCTTTTTCACACCTTTATAGGCTCTCAAACGCTTCCTCATACTTTTTCGCGCTCGTCAATTACGATAAACCGTCGTAGTGTGATGATAGGATAAATAATTAGTGGATAGAGGAGTAGTTGGATAGGTTCAATCGATGATCATTGCGAACTCATATTGATATTGGATTCGCTTCTGATTTTCACTAGGAATCAGGTCTTCGTTTCAGTAGTTGCCTACTAGCAGGTGACCACTGTCCATCGTGGTCAATTCCAAATGCCAATTACCATTCTTTCTTGGTATTTTGACAGGCCCTTTCACGCTCTTTCACGCTTTTTAACGCTTTTAAACGTTTTCTCAAAGTTTCTCAGACCCTTTCAAGCTGTTTCATGCTTTCTCACACTTTCTCACACTTCCTCAAACTTCCTCACGCTTTCTCACACTTCCTCACGCTTCCTCACAATTTCTCACGCTAGATAGGTTCAAATCATACAATAATTTGTGAATTCCATGATAACTCACGTTGAGATCGGATTCGCTTCTGATTTCCACCAGGAACCTGGTCCTCGTTCCAACCTTCACGGACAAATCGTTGAGTCGTCTGAGAAACGCGGGCGGTTCGTCGCTTTCCCCGCCAACCCCCACCCTCAATTCGACGTCCCTGGAAGCCACCCCCAAGGGGCTCCTAGCGGTGACTGTGTAGAGGCCGGCGTCATCCTTCTGGACATTGTCCAAGGCCAGCTGGATGGTGTTTTTGGTCAGTTTGAGTTGCCTTCTTCGTTCTGGGACGATTGGGGCCCCTCCATCTAAGGACCTGCAGAATTATAATCATTCATGAATTGTTCTCATGCATCTATTAAGTGAAGAGGAAATCATAGCCAACATTCACAAGCTTTCTAATGAGCTTGAAAAAAAGTTCAAGTAGAATACTTGTGGGGTTTCTCAGAGGACATTGTACGCTCAACGAACACAGCGAACACATGAGGCTGGAAAATTGCTGTGCAGGTTCTGCCAGGAAGAGGAGGAAATAGCAGTGAGTGAGGGCTTATCCAGAATGAGGTTCCTTTCGCTGGGAGAGAAAAATCCAAGATCTCAAAGAAATACAGTGATCTAGAAGCTATAGCCTGTGGAGTCTCATAGAGAAGGTGGGGTTCGTCAAAGCACTCTAAACGAATTTCGAGGGCTTCCACAATAGATCTGAAAATGTAAAAACTCCACAAACGATAAGATTTTCCACAAAATTCTTAACACAACAAGTTCCGCTAACACAATAGCTTTGTCAGGTGATAACTGGTACAATGAACTTAAACCTTCATTTTCGGAAATTAGGCACAATATCTACGTTAAAATACCGTGTACCGGATTACCTTGAAAGGGTTGATAGCAAATACATATTAATAACTACGAAGAAAACGAATTCAACAGTAAAATGTCAGAATTTTTTAGTTTGTTGATTTCTAATGATTTCTACGTGTAGAATTTAGGAAGTATCATCAAAACTATGGTTTTCTTCTAATATATGGTTGAATTTGTTTTCTTCTTCAAAAAATTCATCTTATGTTCATGAATGCGCTGACTAAACCTACGACCTATCAGACCGATATATACCTTAGGAAAATATCCACAGTTGTGTTTGTATACCCCTGAGTCTTCGAATATAGAAGTTAGTTTTGTCTTCATTATTTTTGATAATTCTACACGTAGAAAATGAAGGAATCCGGTACACCGTATTTTAATGTTGATATTGTGCCTAATTTCCGAAAATAAAGGTTTATCGAACCTGTCCACAGGTAACTAATCCTTTAAGTTGGGAAAGGACGATATATAAAAGTTGAGCAAGCCATGGTTGGTTTAGTTCATTGTACCAGATATCACCTGACGAAGCTACTGTGTTGTGTGTTTGAGACTTTTGTGAAAATCTTATCGTTTGTGAAGTGTTTAGATTTGCCATGGATTTCCATCAGGTAACAGTCGAGTGAATTAAAAAAAAAAGATCTGAAAATGTCGCGGTTTGGAGGCAAACAGCCCGAAGGCCCCATTCTAATATCATCTATGAAGTAGGGGGAGGGACATAGATGAGATGGAGGAGTGTTACCTAAAAGTGTATTTCAAGTTGAGCAATATTGTCAATATTCTAATTCGCATTCGCTTGCCGGTCGTGGGTTCGATTCCCATCGACTGCAGACATTTTCTGATGGCCCAAGAAAGTGTTTGGGATCATGCGTTAAAAGGTAAGGCCCCCGTCATTCCTTGCTCGCACAAGACTCTCGAAGACTTCTGAGGGTTGCTCGTAAGGGGGCAACCGAATGACGGATAGAACAATTTTAGAACAATTTTTAGGTATTAGGCACATTATCACTATTCTTCTACAAACTCTTTCGCAGCTCCCCAAGAAGCAGTGAAGAACAAATCTGATAAGTCAGGAAGAAGGAACAAGATCGAGATCTAACAACAAAAACTGTAGGATATAAGCTGATCAAAATAACAAAATACAATAGAACCTCTTAGCCTTGAGATTCTAGGGTAGGTACTACTCAAAGATAATAAAGCCTAGGAGATGACCAAACATATCGGACAAAGGAAATGGAGATTTTGCAATATATCAAGTAAACCAAACTTCTGAACATACACACAAACAGAATGCTGACTGTTTAATATATTGAGCACCTGAGAAAAGTGACTAGAAATTATCCCCTGAAATAGTATATTGTTTATTATTATGGAATGATGACAATTATTTTTCAACCTCTGATCAATGATTCACATGTTTTTCACGATTTTTTCGTTTTCTATAACAGACTTCGAATTCGCTCCTGTTTCGAAAACACGTAGTATAATCTGGTTCAATAGAATGAGGAAGCAACGTGAATTGCCAGTCGAACTTTATGATTTAATTTTTGACTGCGCAATGCCTATTCATTCAACCACATTCTATAAATATGCCATCATATCATAGATATAATGAATTTCGAACAAGTAAATAGTTATAGGTATTGTCATTACTAACTATAGACTGGATGTGGGCCAAACGAAATGAATTGTGAATTGTAGAACACATGTGCATATCAATACGGTGTTGGAAATCTTTCAAAATGTGAATTGATTTCAGTTTTGTTCGCCCTTACTAAATTTTCTTTGTCTGAGTTTGTGAAATTCGAAATGCAGATATTTGAAAGACTGAAAATAAACTATCAGAATAAGCAAGTGAGATTCGGTCATATCATGTAACCAGGAAGTATAGACTTTACAATTGTATTCATATCGGAAATTACAAATTTCAGTTTTTTTCATTATTATTATCGAAACTAGCTGAACATATTCTTACTGAAGATGGACAACAGATGGCAAAGTGGAATAATATTAAAATTATTGGAAACGAAGATAACAACCAGAAGAGAAAAATCAAGGTATCTGCTTGCATGGTATTCAACCATTGAAATCTGAAAATGAAAATGGTAAATTCAAGATTAATTGATGAAAACATCCTGTAACTCATTTGATTGCCAACGTTACCAATTGTCACTGAGAACTGAAAAGTGTCAGGACAAATACGAATTTTGCGATACAAAATATACATTTTTCATGTTGAAAACGGGAGCAGATTTGTTACCGAAACGTCCAAAGCTGAGTAAAAATTTGATATTCTTCCTATATACCTTTATTTCTCTTCTCCAAACTTTTTTCAATACAAATTGTCACTGACAAGCTAGTGAATTTTTCTTTTTAGGCATTCTGATAGGAAAATTCTTTAAACGCAGTGACATTTTGGGGCAAATCATCTGATTTGTGCTCACTACCTCACGTAAATTGAAATAATATTCATATTTTTATTTCATAGAAACGAGGAGAGACAATCCCAAAAAATCTGGAATAATGAATGTACCATCTTCTCGATTAACCTACAAACAGTATTCAGTTTTTTTATTCAATAATTCAGAAAATAAATATTACTCATCAAATTTCCTCTCAGATTCCCTTATTTAACCGACCTCGTCTCTTTCATAATAACTGATATGGTTAATTGTATAGGATAAACTCGCTCTGAATAGAACTGAAGTCTAAGATTGGATTCTGTTTTAATTGACCATGTGCTCGAAAATTTTGGCAAAATGCCTGTCTTGTGTTCTGCTTGGACACAATAAGTAAAAATAAAAATGAAAGAGAGGCAGACTTCAAATCTGAACAAAGATGAATGACTATTATGAAAGAAAAATGTATGTCCTGTGCATCGTTGTTCAATACGAGTCGATTTATTAGTTGTACTATGAATAATCAGTGTTTTCAGATTTATATATATCCTCTTGAAGTTTTAAAGTTTTCACGAACGATGAATCTCATCGTTATTATATCAAAACTTCCAGAATACGCTAATGCAGTAACTTATTCAGGTGAAATAACAGTTAATACTCAACTCAAGTTAAGTTAGTATTATATCTATAGTTTCTGAGAATTTAGTGGAAAAAATATGGAGAACTGAGATGACATGGGATTTTACTAAGGTCTGTCTGTTGTAGTGTTGTCAGAGATTCACGGCTTGACTTGATATTCAAGCTACTTGACTTGACTTGACTTGAAATCAAGTCAAGTTCAAGTCAAGCGAAAGTTTTTTAATGTCAAGTCAAGTCAAGTAATTATTTATCAAGTACTTGAAAAATCAAGTAGTTCTATCAAGCTACTTGATTTTCAGCAGTTTTATTGTGTATCTATACAGCGTGACTCACGGTCGATGTTATAGGTTAGACGTTTATGGAGAACGCGACGCGGGATTTTTCTGAAAATTTCGCATACACAAAAAATTCCTGAAGTTGAAAAATCTCGATTTTTCGCACTCTATATCTCCATAATCTTTTCCGCTATACCCCGAGTGTGATGTATAGATGAAATCAACTCTTCAAGGAGAATGTGAAAATGCAATAAAATACAGGGTGTTCAATTCGAAATAACAAAGTGGTCCCTACTTTTCTATATAGAAGCGGCAACGTCGTGATTTTGAAAATATATTAGATCGATAGTACCGGTGATGAAATGTGAGATGCGAAATTTTCAGAAAAATCCTGCGTTGCGTTCCTATCATAAACGTGAACGTCTAACCTACCATCGACCGTGAGTCACCCTGTATATAACTGATGAAATGAAAATGGCATCGTAAGACTGACTGCGCGATCGATTCAGTCAGCTCGGATCTCGGGGAACCCCCGTATTTTGTCTAAGCGTGAGCGAGCTTGCAGAAATATACGCCGTGCGACTCGTGCGTATCAAGATCAAGTATTATCAAGTAGCTTGATTTCAAGTCAAGTAATAAATATCTCAAATTCAAGTCAAGTCAAGTACGTAATTTGCCACGAGCTTGATTTTCAAGTCAAGTCAAGTAGTTTGTTAAAATATCAAGCTACTTGACTTGATGAATCTCTGAGTGTTGTTCAACCTGCTAAAGTCGATATATATTTTTTTCAATTCTGTTCATCGCACCACGTGAACAGAACTGGGTCAGAGAAAACAATCAATTCAGACCAAAGATCTCCTCGGCAATTTCAACCAAGCAAGATCAAGTACACTGAATAACCTCAGCAAATTTAGTCTGAAGACGGGGCATTGTATAGTCAAAGAACATCTAAGAAAATTAGGCTTAGTGAAGGACATCACCTGAAGATTCTGCGGGGAACATCCAGAAACACCCTACCACATCTTTTAATATACAGGGTGTCCTTAAAAGGTCTTTACGAAAAGCTACCACATATTCTTCAGACCAAAACAATTCGATACAAGCAAACTTACCTCAGTAAAAAGTTGCTTAGTTTGGGCGCTAGACGGCTC